ATACCTAGATATATTATTATTTTTGCCAGTTAATAAATTTACGAAAATAGCTACTATCACTATATTGGAATTGTAGCACGCCTTGTGAGACCCCTCTTCAGATACATTGTAGAGCTCTTAAAACAAAGTTTTATCAGTGCAGTTCAAAGTGGAGGCAGTTAACAGCTTATAAATATAAAAAAATTGAAAGGAAAATAATAATAAATACTTCAATATGAATTCTGATAGCACGAAAGATAATTAATATTGGCCTTTTCTTCATCTCGTAAATATCATTTAACTGGATAAAATGGGAACATCCTCAGCGTTCCATTCTAGTCATGTTCCACTTTCTCCACTGTTAAATATGATATTTTTTTAAGTTTCACTGTAGTTTATTTTCATTTTTCATTTTATACTTATTTCCACTTTTTGGCTTATCCTTCTTTTTTCCTTGATCACGATAGTGTTAGAAGGAGAGTTTTAATTGCAACAATTATATCGATTTTTTTTGCTTTGCTGTTTATGCATTAAGTGAAGGCACGAGTCGATTAAGAAGAGAATGCTTCATGCCTCGCTACGGCGTCTCGCTACCCGACTCACTGCGGAGCAAATAGAGGCCAAAATCAAGTCCAGTGAGATTTTAAGCCCAGTGTTACACGCATCAGTACAAGATGTCAGCGCTGGGTGCGGTAGCTTTTTCAATATTCAGGTTACTTCTCCAGTCTTTACGGGGAAGAGTTTGGTTCAACAGCATCGCATCGTGAATGAAGTCCTTAAACAGGAGATTAAAGAGATTCACGGATTCACACTAAAGACCGCACCGCGACTCGATTAATAGGTAGATAAATCGGTTTAAACAATCATCAGTGATGGTTTTCTGCTGATTTGGGCGCATTTTAGGCTACCACTTTCTCCACATATATTATATCACCACATCATATCACCGTTAAGTAATGTGAAGACTTGTCATCGATGCATGTGTATGCCTTACTAAGTGAGATATAGTAATAGAAGACAGGGGGACGTTATTAACCGAGTCAGGTAACGTGCCTAATTCATGTTTTTTTTCACATTTATGCATCTACCACAAACTCTGTTCCATCACTATTTTTCGTTGAAAAGTGTAAGGATTTATTTAGCATTCATATTTAAAACTTGACGGAAATTCACACAATACGTGGCTTGTGACGATATGCGGGCACCTGTTCCTTTACTCGGTTCATCATGTGATCAGCAGGATCTTGTGGATCCGTCTGCAGGTGCGGTCGACCGCGAGACCCGGTCGCTATTCTCTACCGATGATAAAGATGAACGGACAGATGGGGAGACGTACGAGCCGTGCTTCTTTGAGGATGCCGGGTTGTGCGAGGACCTGCTACGCCGCCTTGCCGTCCTCTTGCCGGCGGAGAACGACGTGTTGCTACCCACCATCGGTCAGGAACCTGATGGCGCCGCCGCTCTCGTGGAGAGGTTCGCCAAGGCCCTCGATCGTTACCAGGAGAGCCCCTATTTGTTGCATCCTTACCTGGAGGGGATGGTGGGCCCTCTGGTGGAGCTGGTCGTGCGTTATCTACCACTAGCGACAGCGGTGTGGGAGCGGTTGGCTTTGCTCAGCCAAGGGGGGGAGCGGCGGGTCGATCTCTTCAGACCCGATGAAACTAACGGTGTAGGTGATAAAGAGGCGAATGTTGTTCAGGAGGGGCTCCCAGATGGAGGGCAGGGAGAAGGGGGGGAGGGTGGCGTCCAAGACGATGCACTTTTATTGGAGCCTAACGCTTTGGGGCAGAACTTTGATATGTTCGACGCGGATGCACCCAAAAACCCCCTCCACTTGGTCTGCCGAGCCCTCTACGCCCTAGTCAAGACTGCGGGAGAGAAGAGCTGCACGAGCCACTTCCCCAGTGAGGTGTGCTACTACGAGGATGTTTTCTATGCGTTGCAGTTGTGGAGGAAGGACCAGCGCCGACTGCGCGAGTGGGAGGTGCGCTACTGCTTATTGTTGTGGCTCTCCAACCTCATTCTAGTCCCTTTTGATCTTAATTGCATTGATTCCATGCAACTGCCCTCCTCCGACGGGGATCGCCCTTGCGGGTACCAGGAAATCCCCGCTGGCGGCTCGTTATCGGATGCAGTTCTCGCCACCGCCGTTTCCTTTCTGAACGACGCGTCTAAGTGTCGTGAGGGGGCGGCGCTAGTCGTGGCGCGGCTGCTGACGCGTCCAGACAGCTGCCGGCATCGGCGCATTTTCTTTTTGTATGCTCAGAAGATTCTTCGGGGTAGTTCCCCTCGGCAATTGCCCACCTCGAGCCCCTCCGAGGAGGGGACTGAGAGCTGTGTGGAGGCCTTTGTCAATACCATGCTCATAGACGCACTGCCCAACTACAAGAGCGAGAGTCCCGATAAAGCGAGCATGGAGGTCGGCTCCGTCCACGTTACCGGTGTGCTGCTTGCGGTGGCCAAGACTTTCAAACTCGGTCAGCGCTCGGAGATGCTCCCCTACGCGGCGGAGCTGGTGTCGTGCGTCGTGAATTACCTTCTCCAGCACCGGGTGGGTTGCCTGTTATACAAGACGGCCGTTAAGGTCTGCCAGCGGCTCTGCCTTTGCATGTTGCGGAACCGTTTGGCTTCGTGGAAGTATCACCGGCGGGACGTCCTTTCCCTCGCGGCGAACCTCGGTGAGGGGTATCTTGCCGGTGCCGCTCTGGGAGGTGACGCCGCACCCCATGACAGGGAAAACACGTTTAGCGAGGATAACGTGTTTGAAGGGGATACAGCGGCGCTGGATGAAGGGCTCAACCTCCTGCTTCAGGCGCTCGGGCATAAGGACACGGTGGTGCGGTGGAGTGCCGCAAAAGGGATCGCGCGGGTGTGCGAGCGCCTGCCGGTGGAGTTCTCTAATGATATAGTGATAGCGGTGTACAGTGTTTTTTCCCATGAGCAAAGTGATGCCCATTGGCATGGGGGGCTCTTGGCCCTCGCAGAGCTCTGCCGGCGGGGCCTCATCGATTCAGGCGGCCTTTCCCGCGTTGTGGATCTTGTCAGCGGGGGGCTTTGCTTCGATTTGAGTAAAGGCACCTACAGTGTGGGGGCGCACGTGCGGGATGCTGCTTGCTACACGTGCTGGTCGATCGCACGGGCCTACGACGTGCGTGATATTGAGCCTCATGTGCACAAACTCAGCACCCATCTCGTGGTAACTTCGCTCTTTGATCGCGAGGTCAATGTGCGGCGCGCGGCGGCGGCGGCGTTCCAGGAATGCGTTGGCCGGTTGGGAAACTTTCCAGACGGCGTTACGCTGGTAACCGCAATGGACTTTTTCTCTCTCGCCTCCATGAGGAATGCGTACTGCATGGTGGCGCCCAAAGTCGCAGTGTACGATGCGTATCGTGGTACAATGTTGGAGGAGTTGATTAGAGTCAAGGTGAATCACTGGGATCGCGCGGTGCGGCAGTGCGCCGCCGCTGCCCTTGGCAGGATAGCGCCATTGGAGGATGGGGGCACTATTGATGAAATTTTTGCTGAACTACAGGGTCGCGTGCTGGATCCTATGCTGGCTACTCGGCATGGTGTCGTGCTCGCCCTCACGGAGCTGGTTCTGGGAATGCCTAAGGACACTTGGTCAAGCGCGCAACGAGAGCAGCTGGTGGAGGTGCTGGTGCGCCTGGAGGCGGCCCATTTCTTCCGTTCACGTGGTGGTGAGTACCTGCGGCAGGCGGTCTGCCAGATGCTTAGTGCTTGCGCGGAGCAAGCACTAGTCCTACCGGAGTTTGTTAGCGTGATCAAACTCAGAGGGGAACGCGCCAAGGCGCGGACGCTGGCGAAGGTGCAGGAGTTTCTAGAGGAGACCTGGCGCAACATCCTTGGTTGGGTGCAGGAATCCGGGGCCGACGCCTTCCGCGTATTCGCACGCGCCTACTACACCGAGTTCCAGCCCAAGTTTCATGGAAAGGTGCTGGAAAAAATGTTGGAGGCGTGCTCAGTGGGGAAGGGGTCTCCATTGGAGCGCCGGGGCTTCTTGGCTGCTATTGGCGGGCTTCCCCCTTGCATGCTGACCGCAGTACGTCCCAATTCCGATTCGCCATCTCAAGAGGCGCCGTATTATGTATCGGTGCTGAAGGTGCTTTGTGAGGCCGCGCGTTGTGGTGAGGCGGAGCTCAGCGATCTGGAACTGAACGATGTTGAGGCCCGACGTAATGCTGTTCAGTCACTAGGGAGGGTGATGTCTACCCTTCATCAGGACGTCGACGTAGGGGTGGAGTGCTACCGAAAGGTAGTTGAAGTACTTTTGGAGGCATTGCACGATTACACGGTTGACAAGCGCGGTGATGTAGGCTCCTTTGTACGTCTAGAGGCGCTGAATGCCCTTCCAGCGGTTGTGTTCCATGGGCTGTTTAGAACGTCTTCACAAGGTTCACAGTCTGTCGGGCAGCCATGGTGTGACGCACCCCTTGTGGTGCGTGTTTTGCAGAATATCATCCGAGTGATGATGGAAAAGCTAGATCGTATCCGTTTAGTGGCGCTGGCGGCACTGATCAACTTACTCGGCTCTTCTGGCGACGCCACGGAGGGGGATTTGGTATCTGCGATCGATTCCCAAAAGGACATGAGCGCTGACGAATCGGTGGTATCGGAGACGCGTGTCTTGCAAAGCCTTGTCATGCGCGCGCAGCGTGATAACTGGGCCTCTCCTCAAGATATTCTTCTCCCATTTGGGGTCGAATTGCTACACCGCTGTCCCAGGGTCTATGCGCAGTCAGTTATGGAGGGACTCGTACTATCTGCAGGAGATCTTTCTGCTCACGTCAACGGGCCTGGCTTCGAGGCCTTGCTTCTGTCTTTTGGCGACGGTTCTGAAGAGGGTCATCGACTTCGTCTTTCAGAGTGCTTAGTCGAAGTAGCCTCCAAGTATATTCACGTTGAGCGCGTGTTAGTTCCTTTGAGCCGTGTTCTAGACAGTTTACTCAACGCTGGAGTTTTTTCTGACACACAGCACCTGGCGGTGGTTACTATACTGCGGCAGGAATTTAAACATTTCGCGACGTCCATCACAGTGCTTCTTAGTTTAGTGGGATTGCTGGCGAACCTGTGCCGCAGCACGGATCCCGTTGCTCGCCGCGACGCGTGGTCGCTGGCACTCGTTGTGATTGCGAGTCGTTACCCTAAAGTGCGCAGCAGGATGGCGACGGATTTGTATACGGCTCTTTTGATGTGGACCTCCACCATGGAGTCCTCGCCAGAGGCTGGTTCGAACTCGGACTCTTTCAAAGAGCGCGAGGGCTGTGCGCGCGCCATGCAGCATCTCCTTTCTACTCAGTGGGATGGCGCGGATGCCAGCAAAGTGCGCGCGGCTCGAAACGCGCTCTATGAAATGCTTGGCATCTCTCCGCCAGCCCCTGTGAGCCTTACAAAGGGTGAGACTAAAGCTAAGCCAGTGCGTCGTGAGATTGTGGCTGGAGCCTACTCTGATTTGGTTCACGAGGCCGGGTATTAATTCGGCACGTTCACGGCTCCTTGCTACTCTGTTAGATTCTTTACCGTGCGGGTATACTGAGATGAGCTGCTGCACACGTTGGTGCTGAAGCAATGCTGAGTAGAACGAGTGGTATTTAGTGGGGCAAGGAAGGGTAAAAGTCATATTACAACCACCAACGAGAAAAAGTGCGGCATATCGATTCTGCATTTGAATATGATTAATGTAAACAGTGTGGAAGTAATGGAAGAAGAAAGAAGAACATTGCAATGTCACAAAAGAAGACAGTAATAAAAAAAATGGAAACAAGATGATTTAACGTGCATGTTGAGCTCATTTATATTCAAAGGCATCCTTCATGAACTACAACACCAGTCGCTTGCTCCTCTACTCCTGAAATTGACTATAGTATTCTTTTTGAATAGGAAAAAGTTGGGGTTAGCCGACGACATTTTCTGATTCAACTTCTGTTGTGGAGGGAGGGGGGGGCACTGCTTATTAGCCATTCCTTTTATTCCCACTCCCAGAGCCGCAATTCCAAGAATGATAAATGACAAAGTGCTTGTATCACAAGCTTTGATAGGCAGAAGACGCTATAAGGATCTCGATTCTTTTGGATGGACTCAGCATCCGACCCACTACGCAACTACAGATCAACTTGGGAGCAATTATTTTGCCGTTTTTCTCTCCACCATCCGAGGTTGCCTCACAAGCTCGGGAAGGGGAGTTGTGAAAGGCGAGGCCGCGCAGAGCGAGTTCGTCCGAACGACCACAACCGAGAGCCTTGTTGTAACCCTTCAGGTTCTGCATTGTGAGGAGACCCTCACGCCGGTTATGCAGTCCTGCGTTTCCACGCCGCAGTTGCGCAGCGTATCGTGCGGGGACTCGGCTCCTGATGCACAGCTCCTAAACGAGTGGGTGATGTTCCCCCTGCGGTTGTGTGATATTCCGCTGGATGCTGTCGTTGACTGCCGTGTGTACGACTCCAGGGGCGGCACCTGCCTCGGCGTGGCGCGGTTTCACCCGTTTGATTTGCTTGGGGAGCTTCGGACAGGCGAGCTGACATGCGAGTTGCGGTACCCTGCGAGTGTTGGAGGCGAGGAGGGGTTCGATGAGACCTCGCACGATGAGATTCTTTCTCACGCCGGGCGGGAGTCTAGTTCCGACCCGGAGGATTCCTTCACTTCCGTCTCGTCATCCCTTCAGGGGAATATGCTTGGTGAATCATTGCTCCGGGCGCGGTATCGTGGCATGTTCCCCGCCATTCCCTGGTTGGATGCGATAACCGAGGACTTTCTTCAGCAGGAATCGCGGTTGATCACTTCAGTTGAAACGAGTGAGAAAGAAGTGGGATCATCAAGTGATGGTGCTTTACAGCACTTCGGAAAAGCATATTTGCAGCTTTACTTACCTCTGCCCTCCGAACCTATACCTATTCTGGCGCAACACACGCCACAAAGGTTTCTCGGTGGTAAAGACCCCAACGTGCGCTATACCGCTAAGGCTTTGCTCAGCGCGTACGCAGCGGATGCCAATACACCATATGTAGACCACTATTACCTTTTCAAGAATCACAACGTTTGCGAGGCGATGGCCGCCATTCAGGCCCGTTCGCTTTACCTTTTGTACGATAGCACTGCCGCGCCAGGGATACGGGAGCGGCAGCGTTTGATGGAGCTCGCTGCCCGGCCGCCCGTTCAGTTAGATCCACCGCGCATCGAAGATGTCGCGCTGCTGTGGAAGTATCGTCACTTTGTCTGCAAGGACTCGCGCTTTTTTCTCACCTTTTTGCGCACTGTTGACTGGAACCAGCCGAACTCGGCGGAGGGGCGGGTGGCCACGGAGCTCATCGCGCAATGGAAGTCGGTCGGCCTCTCTGAGGTGCTTGGCTGTCTGTCTAGACTCTTCAGCGGCGTAGCGCCGGTGCGTCAGTTTGCCGTGCAGCTGCTGAACCGCGAGAGCGATGCGAGGTTGTGCTGGTTCTCTGTCTGCCTTATTCAGGCGCTGCGCTATGAGAGTAAACACCAGGAGCTGACGCGCTTCCTCCTCAACCGCGCCGCGCGACATTGGGAGCTTTGTTGCGCACTGTACTGGGGGTGTTTGGTGGAGGGAGCTCTCGAAGGTGAATCCGGGCAGAGGCTGCAGACGGAGCAGCAATCGCCCATTCTGAATATTTTCCATCAATTGGAGGATATGTTGGCGAAAACGCAGCCGCTTTTTCTCTGTCGCCTCCAGCGCCAGCGGCGTCTTATTAACTCCCTGCGCGAGCTTTGCTCCACGTTGCAGAGGGCCCCCATTGACCGGCCGGGAAAGATCGAGCTTGGAAGAAAACTATTAGAGAAAATGGTATGTGGCTTTGATGAGGTCTTCTCACGGTCCGGTAGTAGTGAAATCCCGACAGGATCATCCAGGACCCTCTATGCTACTGCAGCCGACAGAGACGGCGAGCATGAGGACATGACACAGGGCGACGTCCTCGACATGCCCGGCACGGCTACCCTGCCTTGCCATCCCGCCCTCGCTTTTGAGGGTGTCAGTAGTTCCAGCTTCTCCATTTTTAAAAGTTCCAAGTTCCCGGTACAGGTTGTCTTTCGGCTTGCGGCACGCCCCGCGGGAGCTCTCGATTCTATTCCAAAGGTGGGCCATGGCTTAGCCTCTTTGAAGAGCCCCTCGGATGGCGGCCCCCTTCCACGCCATGAGGTGGAGACGAGGCCGATTGTGCAGACGGAAGGGCCGGAGGAACCCACCGCGGCGGGGGAGAGGATCTCCACGGCAGTACGTGGTTCGCGCGGTATGTCGGCGACGCCATCACACGCCCGTGTTTTCCAGCCGTTGGCCTTCAGTGCGCCATCGGACGCGGTCGAGGAGCTGCCCATGATGTTCAAACTGAACGATGATGTGCGGCAGGATCAGCTGGTGTTGCAACTCATCTACTGTGTGGACAGCTTTCTGCGACAGGACGGCTTAGATTTGTGCTTGACGCCCTACCGCGTCGTCGCCACGGGCCCCAACGAGGGTCTTATTGAAGTTGTGCTTAACGTGGCCACCTTCCAGAGTGTTCAGCGTGATATGCTCAAGTACTTGCGTCAACATAACCCCACCCCCTCGGCGATGCAAGAGGCGATGGATCGGTACAAACGGAGCTTCGCAGGCTACTGCGTTATAACCTTTGTGCTGGGTATCGGGGATCGCCACCTTGAGAATATCCTCGTTGCGCAGGATGGGCGGCTGCTTCACATTGACTTTGGCTATATCTTGGGTAACGATCCGAAACCGTTTCCGCCGCCGATGAAGATAAACCGCGAGATGATCGATGTTTTGGGCGGTCCTCAGAGCGTTGGGTACGTCGAGTTTAAGTCGTATTGTTGCAGTGCGTATAACATTCTACGCAAGCATGCTGCGCTTTTTCTGCATATGCTTCAACTTATGAGTCATGCCCGTTCGTTGCCACAGATTACCGGAAGCGGCATTGTAGACCCATCCCTCATTCTTCTGCAGGTGCAGGACAAGCTAAGACTAGACCTCAGCAACGCACAGGCGACTCAGTACCTTCAGACCGTCATTGCCGACAGTGTGGGATCTGTTTTTACGGGGTTGTGGGATGTGCTCCATGCCGCTGCGCAAGCCACGCGTGTCTGAGGCAGAACCTCGCGTCTTTTGTCATTGGATCTTACTCCTCTGTAGGTTCGACATCATCATTAGGTATGCTTTCGAGTAGAACAATACGACAAGAAGGCACCAAGAGCGGTCAACCTTTGAAGTGTTTTTGTTGTGTTTTCTTTTTCCCATTCGCCTCCTTTGCTCATCTTATCGCTTATTTCTGCTTATATGTTATGTGCCGTATTGAGGGATGTGTGTTAGCTGTCTACACTCACGTTTCCTTTGTATATTTCTTTTTCCTTATTTTCATGCCTGGAAGTTTAATTAACCCTATTCGTTTCCAGGTCGAAAGATTGTATAAATCATTTTGAAAGCACACGTAGGGAAAACAAAAGCTCATAAACGCTGCTGAATATATTTTCGAACCACTTCTTAGGTAGGCTGAAAAATTACATTACACAGAAACCCTTAACAATGGAACAAACTTATTTCTCGGGGATCACAAATATCCACCCAGCCCTTGCTTTTCATCAGGAAATGCTTAGCATTCTGAAGTGGATTACCATTCGGGATGAATTCATGGAAGCACTAAGTGATCCATACAACGGGATCACATGGATTGAGAAAACTAAGCTACGGCGACATAGTCGTGAAGCTCTCGGAAAGTGGGTTCTGTCGCAGATGGCGCGTGCTAAGGTTAAGGATACACCTGGCGGCTTTTTCTCGTTTATTGTAGAACCGGCGTCTCATTCGAATGATGAAGGGGTCTATGACAAGTGTATCCCAAAGGCTCCTTCAGCTCTTTATCACGAACAGCTAATCCGCGATTTGTCTTTAAAGAGCGATGGTGCACACAACCTCGCGGTAGTCGGGAGAATAAGGTTACTACTGAAAGAGTTCGGCCTATATGAGCGATGTTTTGCAGCTTACAAGTCAGTGCAAGAGGAATTATCAGGGGTTGATGTTCGTTCTTCAGATATCTATACCCCAGATTTCCGGAAAGTGAGCGAAGACAGCAATTTACGAACTAATTTTCAAAAGCGCATCCAAGGTCCGGTCGCGCAAATAAATGTTCTGAGGCCAAGGGGTTCGTACACGAGGAGAGGATACCCTCCCTGCCCATCGGCATCAATCCCATGGGGTATGTGGGTCAAGCTTTCTCGCTGCTATGAAGCATTTGGAGCCGCTTTCGACATGCAGTTCTTCTCATCTTTTTCGCGAGATCAGTGTTTCACGTACCGCGCCGCAACGGTTACGCTGCGGTACGAAGTTGGGCTTGCGACCGGCTCACTACAGCTATGTGCGGACGTTTCGCTTAAACAGCATCTTCATGCCCGAGGCTACCACGTCGTCGATCTCTGTGCATCACCCATCAATGCTTATATGGATATGCCTCATCTGGGGTCGTTCACCAAGAAGGTTGGTTCGTCGTCTGATACTACAGTGCCTGCACTCAGTTCAGAATGTCATATCAATAACAATGATAAGAAGAACGTCATCCTGCCGAATCGCTTCTGCTCAGCTTTTTATGATACGGATTGCTACTTTGGAAGCATTGGGAACGCGCTCCATGTGGACCCAGTCTCCTTGTATGATTTGTGTTCGGAAGTAAATTCACCGCAGAAGCCCCTACTTCTGACATTAGATGTACCTTATGACGAGGATATCTGCGAGCTACTTTTTCTAAAGTTAGCCAAAGACATGGAAAATACGGGGGAGTTAGAGAGAAGTAAATTAGCGGTGGACTATTTGCTAGTTATCCCACTTTGGTGGGATGTGCCCATGCCAATCAAAAAGCACATCTTTGTTGATGACGCTTCAGAATTGACAAAGGTGGATGACTCGGTGGCCTCCGAGATGCATCAAAAGTTACTCGGTAAGGTTCTTCAAAAGCATTCCGCGGTGCTCGAGCAGGGGTACCGGGTTACGCAAAACTGGACGGAGGTCCTTGGGGTCGCTGCACGGGGTGTTTCCCAAAGTTCTACGCCAGACAAAGACGCCATGTGGGCTGTGTTCGATGGCGTCTTTATTGGGAATACCTATCCGTACTTCTGCACCTCCACTAACCGCCAGTTGCTCGGGGTAACCACGACTGAGGTAATCGGGCTGAGGCAACCCAGGACGCCCGAAAAAGGGGGTTTGCTATTAAAAGAGGTGTTACATGAGTTCTACAATATTTAGAAGATTGTTTCTCACGCATCACTAGTATTATACGAAACCTAACACATATATATATATATATATATGCATATATATATCTGTGTATAAATATAACATGTTATCTTTGTCTTTTTTCTTCTCGCCAGCTTCTGTTCCTTGAAGCTGAATTAATGAAATTTTAATGCCTACCACTGAATAAATGTTTTATTTATATTTTCCTCTTGTGCTTTTGAAATTAGATATATATTTCTTCAGCTTTCAGTCTTTCAAGTGGGGAGGCTAAATACACTTTTCCACACTCAAGTGAAGAGCAGAAAATACTAAGACGAATCATGGGCTGGGGTGGACCGCGCTTTGAATTCTACACGGCAAATCAGTACAACAACTTCACTGACTTTGTCCGACGGGAGGATGCCGCGCGTGTGAGAGCGATTCTTCGACGTAACCAACAGCAGCAGCAACTCGTTGGGAGGCCTGCAGATTGCCAAGACGGAGTCACATGGAGAGAGGCAGACGCACAGAGGGATCCGCATCTCTGCGAGATCGCGAAGGGCCAGGCCGGGCAACCGCAATCACAACCCCTTCTCTCCAAGGATAACCATCCATGCACTCCGGGCAATCATGCAAAGGGTAAGGCCGTGCAAAAGGTCGCGCGGGGGGCCCGTCTGCGGCAGCTCGCGCAAGCCAAAAAGTACCCTGAGCCGGCTTTATGCCGGCACATGTACGGACGCTGCATGTATCAGCGTGGGAATGTGGTGGAGTTTCCTGTCGGCCGGAACGGGGCGTGCTATTCACCCGGTGTGGATCGGGATCGGATTGTTCCCAAGCGTCCTCCGATGGACGTCGTGCGACCGTGGATTGGCAGCTTCAGCACACACTGGAGCAGTCCTGAGGCGACGTGGGAGCGGGCGCAGGAGGCGTATTATGGCAAGCCGGTTTTGCCGCGGACGGTGGCCACTCAGGCCGCAAGGATGGCTGACCTTCGTGAAATTGAGGCAGCCCACCCCGAGGAGGCGGGGCATGACAAAGGGGAGATTGCCGATCAGTGTGGCATAACCACAGCAGACTCCCGAGTACGTGTTGCGCCGATTAACGGAGAGGCAGATGTAGATGATGTGCCTTCAGTCTTTAGTCATGCTTCGTCCAATGGACCCATCTCAAATACCGGCGCGAACCACATAGCTACTTCACCGTTCTCCACAAAGCAGGAGGTGATGGAGCACCTCAAGACGGTGGGCCAGAGTGACCAAGGGTTACCCGGTGGCTCTGTCTTGAGCTCCACGAAGGGATGGACTCTTCCGCAGTTGACTTACCGTGTTGTTATGCTGCAGAAAGATTGCATGGAAAAGTGCAAGGAAAGAACGATTTAGGTATTTATTTTATCCTGGCATAGCTGAGCCTTAAATTTGACTACTTGCAATAATAGCTATCAGTGACATATACCCGCGCCCATTCGTGCGTTTGCTCAATAGACTGCTACTCGTTACGAAATTTTATGAATATAGTAATATAGAAATCGTATTCAACCCTCATTTTTATTTTCATATCGGTCTTCATCGACTCTTTGTGTATATTTATATTCCCATGTTTATAATGCTTTGTGCTCGTGGCGGGCTCGAATGGACAAAAACAAGTTCACTAATGTTATTATAATCTCCATATTCAATGTTATATCTGCATTATACTGATTTCCTGAGTTTGTTACAACATAAAATAAAATAGTTCACAATTGCCCCCATTTTCAATCTGTTTTCTTTTATATATATATATATATATATATACATATTTCAATACGTATTTTAGCATCTCGAAGCTTATCTTATAAAAAGAACATTGGTGTTTAGGGTGCTCTGTTTTTCGTTTGAATTCTATTTGACGAAAGACCACATAGGGAGAAAAAATAGGGGGTAAAGTTACAGAAGAAACAGAAAGGAATGACTCAACTACATTCCGTTGCCAGTCTAGACTATGGTGATGGTCGAACCTGTGTTTGCCGTATTTGTGAATGCGGCAAGCACCGTTGCCCTGGCCTGAAAATACCATTTGTCGGAGAGACCACCTACCGCGATGAATACGTGCCGAAAAAGGCCGAACGCGAACAAGGGCGACGCAAGCAACAAGCTCTCTATCCTACCAAGGTTGAGCCTGGCCATTTCAAGACGACCAAGCAGGAGGCCGCTGAGTTGATAGAAGGGAAGAATATTCGTCCTGCTGAATCGTACAAACCTCGAAATGAAGTCAAAGAAAACTTACCTTTTGACGCCAACACAACGAATCGTACAGATTATCCTGGATACATACCGGAGTACCGCCGCGCAAAGCCGAAGCAGGAGCCGATGCCAAAGCTACACGGCATCTACGACACCACCAAAGGGGCGATGGATGAGCCCATCAAGAAGCTTTCCGATGACGGTAAAATACTGAAGCCGCCCAAGAGTTTCAAGAGCGAGTCCGCCGCGCAACCGGACGTCCCCTTTGACGGGGTCTCCAGCTACATGGTGGACTACCCAGCGAAGGAGGCGCCGCCAGCGCGTTCAGCGAACACGAACAAAGGTTACGTTCCCGTTCCTGAGAATCGCGACTTCCAGACCGTCAGCTCGGAGACGTATGTCATCCCGCCGGCGAACACGCGGCGGGCATGCCCGGCCGCGTTCGTCCCAGAGCGCCCTGTTTCGCAGGATGGGCATATTAAGCTGTCTGTCTACAATGTTCCCTCCGGGATTGTCTCCTAAAAGGGAGAGGGATCTAGAAAATGGATGCGCGGGGAACACCCCTTCCTGCGCGCAGAGGAATGGGTTCGTGTGATTTTCAAGTACTTTTGAATCGACCTCTCTCTATTTCATGGCATATCCGAACCCTAGTAATCTCGATAAATACTCTAGAAGGAAATGATTGTAAGAGTGAGTCCTTCATTTAATAGTATGAGCCACTGGATGGGGAGAGTTCAATGCAAGGACAATTAATCGACACAACAGGAGAGCGTTCGAAGGAGACAAGTATCGAAAATGGTATTATTACTTTTTGTATTTATGCCTTCGATATCGATCCACCCTTTTTTTTATACAATAGGCGGACTAATAGGCTAGATGTAATAATCACTGAAATCTTTCTTTTGCATTATTGGCTTTACGATGTGGCTTACACCAATATGCGTCTTGTCTTCAATGTATTATATGTTGTAAGGAGTAAATGCTGTGTTATGCCCCTTTTTTTTACTATCAAATACTTTGGGGCATTTCCAGCAGAAAGAACATATTGAAAATAGATTCTATTACGATAATGCGGAGGCTACTCCTTTTTTTTCTCGATTCTATGTTCAAAATGTAGAGATATCTATTTCTTTATGATGAACCGGGGGGTTACTCTAAACTATGATTAGCACACCAACTTTCAATGATTGTTGAGTTGTGGGATGGAAAAAAGAGAGCGAGTCTCTAACAACAATGCCTTACCTCTTTTAACTCCAATTTTCCTTTACGTGTTTTTATCTTAGTAAAGCGAAACGAAAATAGCAGAGAGAGAAAGGGGGCATTCTTTCACTGCACATTCTTGCCTGCTAAAAATAGAGGGCTTGCAGACCACTTTAATTAGCTAGAAAGAGCTCTGTGACATCCACTATAGTGGAGAGTGACAGTGCGTGCGAATAATTTCATTAATCAAGTTTCTCCGCAAGGGGAGGAGGTATTACTTCGTTTCGTTGACTTTCAAATACCAATGCGCTCTAACGGTGCCGTACACATTCGCAACGACACCTTCGTTGCGGTCACACGCGATTGCAACAGCCACATCTTTCTCGTAACGAGTGCTTTTCCAAACGAGGAACGTGTGGCTCCTCTAAGGCTGACGCGTAGGACGCGCATCACACCCAATTCTTCTCTGAGCTACAATGCGACGGGGGTCGAACGTTTCACTGAGTCATACCGGAAATACTCTGAGGAAAGGGTCAAAGAAGCTCATGCTAATATGACCGCTCCGTTAAAAGTATCGAGCAAGGTACCTTTCCCACATTCCGTTCAGGAGGAGCGTGTGAGGGGATCTGTTGAGGCTGACCACAGAGCCATTGCCCTTAAGCCACCACCCCTTGAGCTTGGCAAGTCCACCCAGGAAGTGATGGACTCCACGGAGGACACGGACTGGGCTTTATTTCTGCGGCACAGTCTTCACGTATCGCCCGATGCGCACCGTATTGCTGCGATGAGCAACACCTGCCATCGACATTACATTATCAACATCGGTGAGCCTACCGATATCTTCCCTTTTGAAACCAGTGAAACGGTCCGTAGCGTGTGTTGGCATCCCGAGCAAACCCACTTATTGCTGCTTTTGTTGGTATCAGGGGTGTTTGTGGTGTATGATACGACAGCATTGAGCTTTCGCTCTTCGTCTCGCCCTGTATACCAAGTGTTTCTTAAATCATTAATTCGTAGTGTCCTAGACCGTGAAGCATCCGGATCTTTACCAAACAAGTCAAAGACAAAGTCAGCGTCTCGTATGGGGACATCGCAGTCATCCCACATTGCTTTGGTAGAAGAGGCAGCCGCACTTAGAACAAGAGAGGGGGAGGCGGCTTTGGTATCTTATAATTCGCCTCGTTCTTCAGCGAAGGCACACAAGGTTTCCATGCTTATTGACGAATTGGGAATGCCCACCAAGGGGCCCGACAAGGGCGCCGCCAGCACATGGGCAAAACCAATGTCCAACTCTCGTGTTGGGATACTGCGCGATGTCCAGGAGGCCCACCGGTCTGGACGATCCACGCTGCAGCGGCCGTTTTCGATGTTGCCCGGTGCAGCTAGTCGTACTGAGGACCCCTCGCATCGTTCAACGCACACCGTAAAGCTCATTGAAGGGGCGGCGGCAGGAGGACGTGACGCGACGTCCTCGAGGGCTGCTTCCCTCAGCCCGACGATACCCCCTAAAGAGGAGGGGGGCGTTGAGCGAACGCGAGCGGCGTCAACGGTGTCGCCAGCGCCGTCGTTACCTTCGGCGTTGCGGGAGGTGGCCCTGCACGAGAACTCCGTGATGGGGCTGGCTACTACCCGCGAGGATCCACCCGGTTCGAGCGAAGCCTCAGCCCTGGAGCTCGTGGATATGTGCTGTGTGCGGCCAACGCGGGGCCTCCCGACGACTCTTCTCCTCCTCTGCAGAGGGGGGGATGTGTTTACGGTGAAGTTAGATGGCCTCGGTGCCCTTGCGACGGGTGCGGCCGTTCCGCGGGATGGGAGGCTGCCGCTGAGTGCCCAAGAAGCCAAGGCGGTGCGTCAGCGGGATGGTGAGTGGGTGCGGATGCCGGATATCCACCACCTCCTACCGAGCAGGGCCCACTTCGGCGCCGGTGAGGACACCGAGGAGGCTCTAGCGTTGACCTGCTTTTGCATCGACGAGGATGCGGGCACCCACGTGCTGTTGGTATGCTTGTCCAGCGGCGTTCTGCGCGGGGTCTACGTCGATGAGCCCGACCTGATCGCACGGGATCGGGCGTCTTCGGCGGCCCCACGGCCGCCGGACGGCCGGGCGTCCTTTCAGCTTCACCTTTCCCCCGCGGTGGAGGTGCGGGGGCTGGTTTCTCCCGCCACCGCGCCGACGACGACGCACAGCGTCCAGCTCATGACGGTGGGGAACGTCTGCCTGCTGCGATACGGCCTGGATGAGGCTTTTGTGGTTGCGATCCCTGTTTGGAGTCGGGCGCGTGGGGGGTGGAGTTATTATTGCCCTCCTTGCGGCCACCCCCAGAGGCGTGAGGCCGAGGCGGGGCGGTTATGCCTGGGCGGGGTGACGTCCGAGGTGCCGCCGCCGCTGGCAGTGCGGGTGCCCTACGACGTAGCGGAAGCCAGCCTCGCGCTAGGGGATACGGAGCTGTTGCTCGTCCCTGAGATGAAGGAGAAGGGGTCGACGTGCCTGCGGGAGCACATCATCGCCGTCAAGGTCGCGAGCCTGTTGCAATCCGCACTCTACGCCCAGGCGGGGGACCTGCGGTGCTGCTTCGACCCGGGGCTGCCCCCAGGGGAGAGTAAGCCGCACAGCGATGCGAAGACATCATCAGCTGACGAGAAGGCCCTTGCGAAGGAGACTTCCGTAAATGAGTTGGAAGGGTTGTTGAATAACGTAGCGAAGTGCCACCGACAGTGGTTGTGCGGCTTCCCTCCGGATGAGGTCGATATCAGCACCGCCAGGCTGGCGGAAGGCACCGAAAGGGCTATTACGGTATGTAAAAGAGAGGAGCAACTTCTGGAAGTTCGAGAGGCGAAACTCCACGCACGGCTGGAGGCGTTAGGTGAGAGAGTAAGTCAGGGCATGGCGCGCCTGAATGCGTGGACGGATACCCTCCTTGACGTGATTGTGCACCGCCGCGGGGCAAGGTCAATCGTCGCAGCCAATGAGCGTCTGGGTGAGATTCATAAGATGTTATGTGAGTACGAAAACGGGAAATCCACATTCGCGCATATTAATGCATAATAGATATCAGCTTATATTTCCTCGTTGAGATGTCCACATCGATGCATTTTTTCAAAGCGGAAGTATTGTATGCTATATTAAACGCCTCCACTAACTCTCAAAGCAAAAAAGAATGTGAAGAGTAACAAGCGTTATTCGACTCGCACACATGCTGATATCATTATTTGGCTTTAGGCAGAGGGAGTCTGTATATGAATACCTTTATCCGCTTATATGTGCTTCTAACCCCAAACTACCCCACTGCTTAGCTTTATTTCCAGGTGTGTAGGAAAGTGCATATATACATACGCACGAAAGAAGGCAATAACGAGAGAAAAGTGCGCATATATAACGTTTTTTCTTAGTTTTACCATATAAATTGGTCATGCAAATAACTAGTTTTATCGCCATACACTCGATAAGTAAATAATAGTAATCGTGCGTTTTGATGTCCAAGTTTCAAGTAATACCACCTTTTTTTCCGAAAACTCGTTCGTCATCAGAAGCAGTCCGTTCCAGCAATGTTCACGAGGTTCAGCATGGTGGTAACAGCATGGATGAACACAGTGCCCACGGTGCAACACCTCTTGGGGATCGCTTAGCTGGCCGTAGCGTTGCTACGGAGCAGCCCCCCTCGAGTACACCACCCAACCTTGTCAGCCCATTTAAAGACATATCGTTCGCCAACCATGGCACTCCCCGCACGGAAGGAAGTTTCAACGTGAGCCTGCAGAGCCTTCCGCCGGGGGTGGAAATCAGACCTGAGGATGAGCTTCGTCTTCGTGAACAGATTGAACGCCTACAAAGGGAGGTTCTGCGCGCACGTACTACTATAGCTGACTATAAAGACAATCAGAGTAATCTTCAGAGCCGCCTGAATGCTTCCGAGACCGAGCGGCGCACTACGGTGCTCGAACTGCAGGAAATCTCCCAACAGTTCCGGGCATTTAGGCGGTCAGTGGAGGAACAACGAAGAGCGCATGAGAGAGAAAAATTAGAATTTATTGAGGTAAAATCCCAGCGCGACGACCTGCTGGAGAAGATGCAGGACGCTTGGGATCGTATTGCGGCTTTCTCATTGGAGCAGAAGAAGTCTGAAGCTGAGAAAGTGCTCCTGCATGAGACCGTTTGGCGTGAGTTTGGCTTGTCAGAGCAGCAGGCGGTAGCCCTGCGCCAGCATCTTCAGAGCCTTAACTCACGGACACTAGAGCTTACGCATGAGAAGCAAGAGACTAATGACAGATACATTCGTCTTCTACATTGTATTGGAGATACGGTTCGCGAGTTGAATACGACGCTCAAGGGCCGCATTCATGAAAGCTTCGAGCGTATCCGATCACTGCAATCCATTAACGCTACTTCGAACTCTGAGGTGCGGAGTGGGAAATACCTTTTAGATCAGACTAGTTCGGAGTTGGAGAGATCATGGGAGGATGGCTTTGATGGGATCTTTCAATCGGATGCTCCAGGGACGGATGACATGGTGAATGACGTCGCCTCTCCCAGAGAAGTCGTGCAACAGCTGCTAACACCGCTGCTGCAATCTCTACGAGGTATCGGATCGATATGGCAGCATCTTTTCCACGCGCAGCAAGCGGCCTTGATGGAGCTCAACGATGCGTGCGAGGCCCGAAGCACTCTTTTGAACGACCTGACATCCCTCCGACAAGCTCATGAGCAGCTCCTAGCGAAGTCAGCACGGGAGCAGGAGGAGGTTCATGTGGGTAACGTGGAGTCTGTGCATGGGTTGCGTGCTTTGGCTCGTCAGCTGCGCTGTGATGCAAACTGGGCGGCGGTGCAGAGCTGCGTGATGCGACTCCAGCAGCGATGCCAGGGCGCACCGGCATCCACGAAGATGGGCGAAGACGACCAGGTGTTTAAATCGATGCAGTCGAGCTACAAGGCGGCGAGTATGACCTCGGATACAGTGAGGCGATGGCCGAATGAGAACACGCGCTGTCTTGACACCCTATCGGAAGGTATTGATAGAAGCGAGAAGCATGACAGCTCGGTAGAATCGCGCCAACACACCCGTAGCGAAGTCACTTTCCAAGCAAAATCCGCACCAATCCCAGAGATGAAGCCGTGCTACCAAACCGCTTCCCCAGCACACCACCCACCGCATGGGCTTCGGCACATAGGGGCTCTCACTCGTTCTCAGACTTTACCTGGGATGCTATCTACACCAAAGCGAGGCCAAGATGAATTGGCATCAATTACAGGCGTAACTAATGCAGAACTAGAAAAGCGCGTAGGGGTGCGGAATGACCTGCTCTTCTTTTTTGCAGCAGCCTGTTGCGACCTAATTTCAGACTTAGCAGCAGTCATAAAACAGCGGTATATTTTGTGTCGTCACTTGTGGTGGGCTACGGGCACTGGTATTACATCTGTTTGCTATCCTTCAGGTGCGAGTTTATCAATGAGGGCTAGACGAAGGTCTCTGCGGGTATTGGTTCTTGCTGTGATGGCAGTCCATCGACTGTGCGATGCTGTTTCAAATCGGCGAGAAGAGGGAATTAGGTTTATTAAACGACGGTGGTGGGGTGATCGGTTGCGAAAGGAGTTGTCATCGGAGAACAGGTTGCTGCACAGTAGGTGCTCGATAGATGCCGTCGGTGGACGCGCTGGCGTGGAGGTCTGGCCCGAGACCGTTTGCCAACTGCTGGACTCCGAGGGCGATGGTACGGCAGCTGCAATGGAGCGCGACGGGGAGCTCATTTCCATCATGGAGACGCTCTTAGAGGCCGCAGAGACCGTCGGCGCCTTTTACCCGAGTGGGTATCTTGGGCACGATCTGTTGCCCTCGCCAATCCGGCGTACAACCCCGTCTCCTTGCTCTCGTAAACACGCCTTAGCGCCTAGAGCAATCCATTGTCGTCTGTTCGATCATGATGAAAAGCCCTACCTCACTACACATGACGCAGGCTTGGAGGTCACTAGGCCTCCTCTATCCTTGGCAGGTGGGAACGCTAAACATACATTTCGCAATGGTGAACCTATTAGAAGGGATGAGAACTCCTTTACAGTGGCGCACGCATCAGGACTGCATTTGCAGAGCGACCCCCACCCTGCGCGTGCGATGAGGACGGAAGTTGATATTTCGCTATTATCTTCCATCCGAGGCGGCCAAAGGGGCGGGGGCACTGGATCAACTGCCGCGATCAATGAGCCGAACGGTCAATCCAGCTCAGTTTTTGGATTGGCCGTGGATGTTGCTTACCCCGCCCCCGTACTGAAGCCATCTCAGGCCTCTTCTGAGGAGGACAAAGGTTTTGGGGGGAGGTCTGGGTTGGAGGGGAGGAACGTTGAGGACACCCTGAAGCTTTCGATTCAACAGGATTACTTTGAGCGGGCCTACCGCGGCGCGGCGCCGCGGGTTCACTCCTCTTCCCTCCACGAGGACAGTGCCAGAGATGAAATCACCAACACAGGCAACTATTCCTCGAAGGTTCACGTGTCTTTTCCATCGGACACGTTTGCAACAGAGGTTATGGGTATGATTGAGGCATTGGATCGCTGCGTAACGGGGGCGCTGAGGCGTGGGGAGGGAGGAATAGAAAGCGCAAGAGAAAGCATAGAATGACCTTCTATTTTCCTTTGTTTGTACTATCTGCGTGCTTTGGAAGATGTTCAAGGATTCGGGGGTTCAATATTTGCAGTAGGGGTTTTTACTCCCTTTGGTAGCTCTTCCTATTTTTGTTCAATATTATTTTTAAGTGTGCCTGACGGGCTTTGCAGTCGTTTGATGCTCAAGGTGCCTTTAAACCTTTTACTATAGCCTTTCTTCTTCTTCTGTTCTTGTGTGTGCGCCTATGTGTTCAGAGCACGCTTGCATAGGGTATTTTTTCCAAAAGCAAAGACACATCAGTTGCAGGTGCACATACATATCAAAAAGCGATTTAAGCTTATCTTTTTATGTGCAGTGTATGATTTCATCATTTTTTAGTCATGCGCGGCCTTACCAAGCTTTACACATATGCATGTGAAGAGATGGGCTGTATATCTAACAGTGAGCTGGTACGCTATTTTACTAGTTTAGACTACATGGACGATATAGAAGCCGCGTATCCAACGTGTTTAGATCTTCGACACAACTATCTTGGGGATGCCGGGGCTGCGGCATGTTTTCGCGTCTTGCCTTACATGATGTGGGTGCGACGTGTGGAAGCAGCCAATATTGGTTGCGGACCGCTAGGGGTCAAGGCACTTTGTGCGGCTCTCGCATTGCGCACTTCACCTGCTTCTAAATGTAAGGCCAACTTAGCGTATGCGAACCCACTTGAACCCTCAACACAAGTGGGTACCATCGCGGTCTCCATGGCGCCTGTCGTGGTGGCCGCCGCGGATGGCGATCGGACGAAACAAGAAGACGATGGTATCGCGTTTGCTGTTGTACCCCTCGAGTACATCGACCTCTCCGGGAATCCCATCTACGCCCAGACAGCTGGAGAACTCTTGAAGGCTCTGCGTCTGCGCCGTGATTGGTTGCGGCGGTGCTATGGGAATGGGATTGGAGACGCAGCAACACCTCTACCACTGCAGCTTGTATTGGACTGGGATGTATTGCCGCGAAGAACGGTTGCTCGGCTGCAATCTATGAGTGTGAGTGCGCCGGAGGGCTACCCATCGTCGCACTCTCATAATCACCACTTGCCACATCGCACTTCTGAAGAGAGAAACCATAACATATACCGAATCCTCACCGCAGCGCCTCTCGATGATGATGAAAGTGACCCGTCCTACACTCAATATGACACCACTAACCCATTTTTAGCAACTCTTGTAGGACAAGTTAACGAGCATATGAGAGACTACCTATTGATGTCTTATCACATTGAACCAGGCATTGGTAATGACGAATCCGTAGATGAGTTGACACCCGCGGCTGCCTATCTTTGTGCAGAGTATGGAGTAGATCTGCTTCCGTATCTTTTTACTCAATCTCAATTTTCAACTGGTGGGATCCAGGTGACCTCTCTCTCCAGTTCGTCAAACTGTGGGGAGGAAATGATGTACAACCGAGTAATGGGTCGAGTGCGCACGCTGTTTCAGGCCCTTGATGCAACGCCACAGCTGCTACAGGAGGCCCTGGCACGCGACCACGATGGGCCGCTTCTCCGCTATTATCTTGATCGTCTTAGGACGTTCTTTGATCAGCTAGCGTCCTGCAACGGGCTGCCTTCATCGCATTCTACATCATGGGAGCGTCTTTGCGATTTTGAGGCTCTATACCATCGGGTTGTCTCCAGTCTTGTATGCCGGCGGATGGAGTGGACGCTGTTGCCTGTCATCGAAACATCCGAAGCGCGTATCGATGAAATAACGAAGTACATGGTGGAATATCTGCTAGATGGGGTCTGTCCATCCAGTATCTATGAACACAAGCCTCAGAATCATGAGGACATAAGCAACGAAGTCCTTTTCTGTGGCGCGTTAACGCGATGGTGTGCGCAGGCCATGTACCATATTCATAACGAACCAAAATCACATGCCGAGTGGAATTGTGTTTATAAATGCATGGTCCATAGACTATTCAAAATGGATCCCAGTGGCACATCTGATATAAATGAAGATTCCCATGCTCTAGATTCTAGTCGCAGCTCTGAAGAGATGGTGGCACAAGAAGATCCCAAGCGAAGCTTTGAAGAAAAGCGTGGAGAAGCATACCCCCTCATGCAAAGTGGTAGTCGTGCAGGTCTTGCAATCCCCACGTCACAAGTACAGGCGAGGGACGGCGAAGGGACAGTACTAATGCAGTTCCCATGTGACAGGCACTGCCAACTTGCCCTAAGGGCATTATACAAGGTGCTTAAGGATCCGTACACTGTGAAGCGCCTGGAGGTTGTTGCACCGCTCCAGAAAGCGTTGCCGATCGAGATGCGCCATTTCCTGGTTGATCTTTTAATATGCCAGAACAGTCGCGGTGTCGTAGGTGGTCCCTATGTGGCGGAACTTTTTGGGGAGCCATCTTCGTTGGAGAGCTTTGTGCGTCACAGGGAAGGCGCGAGATCAGATGAGATGGATTCGAAAATGGAGGTGGTGGGGTCCTTCCGCATGATTGGATGGAGCTTAGTAGATATTCTGGCCGTACTGTACAACCGACAGGATCGGCTTATGGAGCTTTTAAAGGTATTCACAGAGTGGTACCGTCTTCGGACCATTGAATCCCTTGTGTCACGGGCGTAGAACAGTCTGACAGATTCACGTATTTCACGCACTTCAATATGCTACCGGCTGCTTTTTACATACGAATATTGTAGTGAACATTCTTCCGTTCTGGAGATATTGACATTGATGGGGATCAGGGACGAAAGTAACGCGCTATTTGTTTCATGTGCCATGTTTTGTTTCGATTTGGCAAGAGAATTCTCCTTATTGAGCTTAATGTAAATAGTATTCCTTTTGTTCACCGTTATGTGTCCAAAAAGAACGGAATACCCTCTTCAAAAAGTGGAGGATATATACATATATATATCAACAGCACTCCATGTAAATTTTTTTACAGCTATTTTGTTTAAATTATCTAGAGCTAGATAAAAAAGGATATTTAAGATGGAAAAGTTCACACGACATCCGAATGAACCATTGTTTCCTCATTTATTATCTTTTTCCTCTCCTTCGATATGCATAAGTGGCTGTGGGTGAGCTTACAATTTCACTAGAATTGCGCACGTCTTCGAAAGTAACTACACAAAGGGGGGTTTAGATAGAGGACAAAGGTCGATGGGCTGGCCATTTCATTCATTGAGATCCTCCGACGCGGACAGAGTTGAGGAAGCTAATAGAGCCATAGCCGCAATATTTTCTCCCAGTCATGCTACCCTTCCCGATAGCACTGTCAAAGATCTCTCCCCGAAAGGCAGCTCTGTTTGTCAGGAGACCACACAAGAGCGCCGAGGTGATTCCCGCGTTGGCACGCTTTGGTTGACATCTCCGCAGGACTCAGGGGTATCTTGTCTAAAGGAGGGACCAAAGACGGTAGAAATGAGGGGCTCAGATTTTCGTTCATCGTGGATGTCTAGCCTGTTCAAGTATCAGGAGTTTTTTTCCAAAAAAAAGTCTCAATCTGTGGATTCCTCTCATTCACTTGGGGTTAGCAGTAGTCTTGCATGTGATGGCACCAACAACAAATTAGATGTTGACCCGCCTGGGCAAGCATGTGAAGTAGTTGAAAAAGAGACAAACAAATTGACGCTCGATGAATTGCCACCGTGCCCAATTGCAGGTTACCAACTCGACAGAAAGCGAGGCCTCGTGGATATTTATAAGTCTCCACCACATGCACTTTCCATAAAAGAATTGCATTTGCTGATTATCGAGCTTTCCAGCATCGAGCAGCGATCCAAGAACATGGTAGACTATCAGTTTGGACCACAGATGAATAGTCGAGGACTACGCGGTATGGAGTTGCTTATTAACCCATGTATATTGCTCACGGGTTTGTATTTCATGACTTGGCGTGCTGCGAGACTTTGGCAGAGTGCCTTACCACGAAACTCTTTCCTTCTGAACGGCTGGTTGAAGCTCTTATGCTGGCATGTACCGGCAGAGAAACAGGAGAGTCTCGCACGCCAGCATCGTCGTCTTATGCAAGCCACCAATGCACATGTTTCATTCTCCTTTATCGTAGGACTTTTCATGGTTAGTGTGTCGTGGATCACCTGGCCATCTTTAAATGTGATGGAAACGTCGCCTGAGATAGTTGTGGGGAAGCAGAATGTTGCCTATCAACAGCATTCGTCAGCTTCACTGAAGTGGTTATGGTTTGTGTACTACAATCACCCGGTTTATGCTCCGCAGGCCGTAAGCGTGCTGACACCCAAGCTATTGCAGTAATATAGGGTTGGGAATCGTCGAGGGAAGATGTGTATCGTGTGCGATAACGACGCAGGCAATTAAATGGACACCTTCGCACGCGCGGGGTCATCTTAATTAGTTGCCGCTTTAACACTATTCATGACATCTTCGTCATTTTCATGAAGAGGGAAGGGCGTATGCATTTCTGCGAAGGGCTTGTGTTTGCGATGGACAGCGATGGAACAGTGGGTGGGAGAGGTCGATGTTCACAATTTTCCAGCATCAATTTTTGTTTGTTCAATATGCTCATGGTACTTTTAAAACGTTCCATCTAAGCTTTTTGGACTTTTTTCCTTGTCTATGTCCAGTCATCCGGAGGTTATCTGCTTGAGCGATATCTCAGCCCTTTTGGTGTGCGGCAGGGTACTCACAAGCAGCTGGACAGAGGTATTTTATCAAACAACTGGATTCAAAAATTATAGGGTACACCCTGGTAGTTGAATAATACATAAACCAAGCTCATCAAGACTAGGTGGGAGGGGAAGGACACATATTAATGATAGTGGGCCCCCAAGAATTTTCGGGGAAAAATGTTCTTACCATCGCTGTGTGTGGTAGTGCTAAGAAGCACAGACAGTCTTTTGAAGCCCTCAAGCGGACCGCAGTGAGGCATAACACCGCGCTTCGTCAAGCCAACTCGTTCCATGGGGCGTTTGCTCTCAAAGACATCTGCTATGACGTAGATAAAAGCGCAGAGGTAGACCTCACAGGGTTGGATTCGGTATCAGGGGTTAATGTAAAGAGTTCATCAACATCTATGCCGATGCCGCCGTGCTTTTTTCGATTCGTTAGCCTTAACTACGACGACAAACACCAGCGAATGGTTCTAGGTCGAGCCTTTGACGTCACTGAGGACTCTATGGATGAGGGGGCTTCTTTCTTTCCATCAATGAGGGGCGGCAATGCTAACCACGAACGCGACCTGGATGATGAGTACCGCCGCCCAAACCAGCGTCTGTTGCAAACTCACAGCGTGATCTCTGATGCATACAGCAATGGCGGGGAAAGCAGTCTGATGGGGGAGAATAGTATGGTCTCTAGTGTACATCCCGAAGAGGTAGATATCATCCTGCACAAAGTGACTACTTACGGGATTCCTGAAGCGACACGCGCACTGCATGAGTGGTGTGATAACGTTCGCAAAATCCAAATGTCTCTCAAACGACCACTGCTAATCGTGTTAGATCCCATTAATAAGATGCAGGTGCTCACCATGCGGTCCATGGTGTACAAATTACTTGATAACGTGGACGATAGTCATCATTCGTTGGCTTTGATCCCACGCACCTTTCTATGGGAACTTTATCACACTTTTGGGATCCAAAAGTGTCCGGAAAAGGTTGGGATTGGCGCATCTATTGGCGCCGCTTCAAAGCCTGCCGTTACGCGTATGTGCACGAGTTCCTCTGTACTAGACACTGGAGAAACGCACAAGAGCTCTGCCAGTCAGTTGTCTGGCGATACGTGGTGGGTCGCTAAGCCAGATGAGTGCACAGGGCCGTCTTACACACATGATTTAGTGATCTGGAAGAGCTCAAATGCAGACGTTTGTGTGCCTCCTGAAATCCAGGCCGCACTGGCTTCAGAGCCTTCTGCATACGTCATACAAGAATTCTACACATATGCCTTCCCGGTGGTCGTAAAAGTTTACTGTGTTGGGCCGGATATCTTCATAAAAGTGAAGCCAACAAACAAGCTTCTGAGCTTTGTGTTGGGTCAAGTCGATTCCAAGGATGGCTTCGACAGGCCTGTCAAGATTAACTCACAGAACAAAGCGTTCTTCTCCCTGGATGGGCTGTCCCTTCTCGCGACAGGGCCTTTTGGGAGGGTTCAACGGGGATCTCCGCCCCACTGTGGGGCTGGGGTCCACCAAGAGGCTCCTCTTAGCTGCAGTGTGCCTACCCGACTCTGGGAGGCGTTTTTCGCCCCAGGGACCTCCGCATGGACCGCGATCGCTAGGCTGGTGAAAGAGCTGTCAAGCCGCCGGGGCTTGGGTCTAAGTCTATACGGTTTTGATATTCTTTTAGTGCCCTCCCCTTTGGCTCATTCTTACCAGCTTAAGGCTTATCCGAAGGGCATTGGCTACACTGAGGGGTCAACTGTCAGCTATCAGCCCTCACCCGTGACGCCTTCGATAACCGATCCACACCATCCTGAATCAATGTTCGATTTGCGAACGGGTGCCCCGACTACTTACTTGATGGGTTCAGTACCGGTAGTCATCGATGTCAACTACTTCCCGGGCTACGCTGGAATGGAAGTTGCGATGAGAGGTATACTGAAAGTAATGTGGAAATCGTTCGATAATGAAACACCCACTGGGGGGTTCTCGTGAAGCATATTGGAATATTTTTATATGTTGAGTTCACTACTATCATACAAGATATATAGTACAAACCACGTTTGTTTGTGAAGGCGTTTTATCTCTCTTTTTACGTTAACCAACTCAGCGCTGTGTGTACCACAATCCAGTTAGATGCAATTGTGGTGGTGGTGATGTGTGTGGGGAGGATCAAAGCCCACTACATGATTCTCACAGAGAACGGCGGTGTTTAATATGCGAAGATGCAGCTCATTAGTTAATAAATTTAATTTTTTTTCCTTGGTGCCGGTACACACATGAGGTGGTAACGAGCGATGATAGGGAATTTGTCGTTACTTGTTAATAAGTCTGACCACTAAATATAGGTTAAAAATCATATTTGCAGTGTATTTTGATCAATTTCTAACTTTGTTTTTAGTAAATAGTGGCTACAGTAATACTTTTTCACTTCTTAAGTGGGATATTGAATGCAAGGTTGATGATATTTTTACCCTAATCGTTTTACGAAATATGTATTTTTGCACAAAAATATTTACCTTCTTCTATCGCTGTAAGCTCAATTGGCATATATAGCTGTTGATAATATCACTCTGTTTTTCTTACTCTCTACTTCTTCTTGAGAAGTGGTTCAATGAGTACTTGTACAAAATGTCAGGCGTCATATTTTTAGTGGGAAAAATACATATCTTAAAGTGTACAATAAAGGTGGGCTGCTTTTTTCAAATTATCAACTTTTTATTGATATATCGAGTAACATGCAGGCACTACTATGAAGACATATGTACATATATGCACACTAAACGATTTTCATCGCTGTTTTTATATTTTATTGGGTCTTTTTACTCAATTTTCATAGTTAAGCAGTAAAAAATGATCGAAACTTTCCATTTGCTTCATTTCTGTTTGGTATCTTTTCCGCACAAAAATCTAGAGGTACCGTATTTTGTAGAGAAGAACTGAAAAACGCAACGAAATCTTGTAAACAACCACAATAGCGATAAAACTCATTGTAAAATTAATTAAAAGGTTGAGTATCGTAATTATATACTAACCTGCTCTTATAGAAGTCTCATATCTTGATATCTAGGTCAGCATCAATTGTGGGGTACGTAACACATTGAATAGAATTATAGAATATTTCTTCAAACCGTGCGCACATATCGAAACTATAAGCGTTTCATATTCCTTGCTTTCTTTTTTTTTATACACAGGCTACAGTGTTCCAACGGGAGAAAAAGTTACCTCTCGTTGAAGGATTGGTGAACATCGAGTAGTTTGCCTCACCTTATCTTCTCCACATTCTGCGTTCCCGAATGATACTTGGCATGAATTTCCCGCATCAAGAAACATCAAGTCAGCAGAAGGAAAAAATATATACCATTGACCATTTATATAAAAATGTCGATTGCTTTCCGTTCAAGTGTAGATTGCACAAATGCAGATTACTCTTTTGAATCGGATGGGTCCCATCCCTCATATTTACCAACGTCCTCACCATTTCAAGCCGAATACAATCAAAGTACCAAGTCTTCCCTATGTAGTAACGAGCCTGATACAACAAAGGATTTGTTGAAGGGCCACAGTGCCGAAGGAAATGCAGAAATGCTAGCCCATCTTCAACACAGTGTTGATGAGGTCTGTGGACGCAATAATAGTTTTAACCAGAAACTCTCACACCATTGTAAAAGGTCGGATGATAATACCCGGAGAGAGGAGAGCTTTGTTGCATCGGAAAGGGCGAGTGCCCTCCAAGCCACAACGTTGGACGCCGCGGGAGCCTGGGCGAGGGTCACCCAGCTGGGGGACATGACCAACTTGCTTCCGTATTCTCGTGGGATTGTAGAGCTTGAGGCGTTCGCGGCTCTTACTCCGGCGACCATCACCGCTGGAAAGGGGTCATCGATGCCCCTCATCACTGCAAACGACTACAGTGACCGACAACGTCTGCTGTATCACATAACCTACTTGCACACGCAGCTGCAGCGGGCTTTTTTACAAATTCAAGAACAACAACGCATCATTACTATTTTACAGGCGTCTGCCAATGTAGAGGTGGACAAGTCGAACAGGAGCACAGCCGATGCAAGCACGAAAAGTGTAGGGCATAGCAGTACTATAGAGGACCAAAAAAAGGAGGTGTCGGACGATGTAGTGATCTTGCGAATTGCGGCGTCGTGCACCGCTGCGGCGGTGGCGGCCTCGCGTACGGAAGAGGCATTACATGCAGCTTTGCATGAGTCGCTCGCTCTGTTCGATCCGGTTATCGCACAGTCTCAGATCAAGCGTCTGGACGACGCCCTTGCGCACCTTAGCTTACTACGTGAGGCCGAGCTTCAGCAGCTGCAGCGTGGAGAGGAGGAGCTGAAGGAATTGCGCAAGAGCCGTAACGATCTTGTCAAGCAAACTGATGCTTTGCAGAGCAGCTGCGAAGAACTCACGGCTAAGAATGAAGAGCTGCGCGCTTCTTCGACCAGTGCTTCGCTGGAGGTGGAGAGGCTGCGGCAGGAGGAGCTACGGCTTTCACGACGAATAGTAGCCATGGAGGGTCTCCTGCGGACTGGTAACCTTTACGACGGGCTGCAAGTTGTGGGCGTTGACGGTGGACACCAGCAAGTTAGCCAACCTAGAGGGGGAGTCAATGGAAACAGCGGATTGGGATCTGAGAGCGCCGCAAATGGGTATAATCTGGGTGTAGACATAGAGAAGTTGAACGCGTTGAGTGAGGAGGAGACGACCGCGCGGCAAGCCCTGCTGCAGGACCTCTTTTGGGAGCCGATGCTTATCGCCTTCGATGCGGGCCTTACCTGGACTGAGGAATTTTTGGCGCTGGCTGAGGAAGGGAATGCCTCGGCCTTGGGGAAAGGCTTACCGCACGATCCTGGCGATAATTTTCCCATAGAAGTAGTGGTTTCAACTCAAACCGCAGGAAGCAACACACTAAACGAGCTCACCGAAGCGATGCGGGCACCGGCGACAGATGCGGATCTGCTGCTCCTTCGTAGCCAACAAGATGAGATACAGCAGCTCCAGAGGCAGATGGGAGTCCTAAAGGAGCGTCAGCGCATGGCTGATTTGGAGATAGAACGGTTAGGTGGTCTTTACGCGAACGAGCAGCGGCGCAGCGAGAATCTCGCCAGAGACCACAGCGAGCAGCTGCAGCGGGCCTATCAGGAGCTTGTAAAGGATCGACATATTATCGCCCAGCAGCTTCGTGAGGAGGTGGAAAAGCAGGTGCGCATGGCTTTTCGTGATGGGCGTCAGTACGAGCGGCAACGTCAAGGGGCCGCCCCAGTTGCTGAAACCGTTGTGCCTGATAGCTTACGTGATGCAGAGAAGACCCAAGAAACTCGGCATTTGAATACAAAGCCACCGCTCATGCGCAGCAAAATTATTTCCTAACGTCAGCCAAAAAAAGTATCTTCTGTCAAGGCGTCCCAGAGTAGCACATAGAAATGAAACAGTAGTTCGGGTAAGTAAACAGCAATTCCCAATGGAGAGGGAATAGCATATTATATCCTGTGCAGGTGGGATGGTATCGCGCATAGGGAGGAAAGTTAGCGGCATGGCTTTTTGCTTCTCCAGCTTCCTCTAATCGTATATATAAAAGATGCGCGGAACGATAAAGTTGCCCTTAGAGGTGTTTGCTTAAAATTCCACAACAGCAATTTTTCCTTCTATATGCCTGTCGGGACTTCAAACTCCAAGCCCCCTATGCATTAGAGATGAGAAAAATAATGAATGCGAATAAATAAGTGTATTGAAATAACATTTAACTAATCTTGGTGCATATCTTTTCCATGCTTTTTATTAGAAGTAATAGTGAAAATGAAGCCACTCGTTCGAAATAGTTCCTCACGGGCATCTATAAGGTCTAATTCTTCCAAATTTAGGCCCCCTTCCAATCCTTCAGATAGCAGCAAGCCTGGTTCAGCTATACGAAGGGTCTTATCTGGGAGTAATCGTCGATGCGCGGATTCAAACCTTGGGGATAGCCCTGTGAGGTATGGCATTGGCCAGCGCAGGCAAAATTCAGGCGCCGTCATTCAGGACCTGGAAACCAAGCTAGAGAATGCTCTAAAGGATTCAGCACTGTTCAAGGACAGGATTACTCAACAACTTGAGCGACACTCGACAATCGAAAAGGAACTAGTGGAGCGATACGAATTTGCTCTTCATGAAAGGGACCGACAGCTAGATGAGTACGCGAAGTTGATAGCCCAGCTTCAATCGGAGGTTCTTCAGGCCTCCAGCTATATTAAGCAGCGAGATGAGCATGAAAAAGAGCTTAGAGATCTCCAAAATCAGTTCAAGGAGGTCGAAACGCGACATGAAAAGGAGCTTTTAAACCTCAAATTTGAAGCTATCGATCGCAAAATAAAGCTTTTCGCTATGGAAAAGGTGATGAGAGAGGAATTTCATCATGTGGTAGAGCAGAGACTGCAGAAACTCATGGAGGAGCGGCACAAAGGTCTCATCGAGCATAACGCGACTCTTCAGAGAGAAAAGCTAGATATGAGCCGAGACATGGAACGGTTGTTGTCGATGACCTCTGCAATGGGAGGGGAGCTTACCACGTTACAGCGTTCGATGAAGCTTCATCGCAATGTCCAGGATGAAGTTCTGAAACATAGTGTTATTCGAATCCGGCAGCAACGAAGCAAGGAGGCCAAGCTGCAGCGCTTAGAGTCCAAGGTACGTGAGCTGCAGGCCCAACTGCAAGAGGTCCACGAGAAGGTTGCCAGCCAATACAAGGACTGCATTCATAGTCTTGAAGAGGAGCTTAAAGCCACCCAGAATACCCTAAAGACCCATCGTACAGAGCTACAAAACATGCGACAATATGCTGCGCAGGTGGTAGGGCAGAGAAGTGACTTGGAGAAGTTCTTTTACATGGCACTGGAGGACTGCCGTAGGTATCAGACTGGCATGACCGCGATCCTGTCCGCGCAGAAAAACCACCTTTCCTCCTCGACAGAAAGCAGTCGTGGGTCAACGAAGACGTCCAGACAACTCACGCAGGTGAGCGACACGCCTATGCCACCTTTAGCTACACCGTCTTGCCATGCTGCCGACCGCGTACACCCTTCGCCTGCCAGACACTCACCTTTTAGCATGAATCACCCTGCCCGGGTAGATGAGTCGACGAAATTATTTGGTATGACGGTGTTGCCCGAACTTTCCCGCACCCCTCCCGATCGCGCCACCTCTCGTCTGACGAATGGGGGGGGGGGCGTCCAGGGCGATGACAAGGCGCAAACAGTCCCCGCAGCCCCGACGGCGTCCCCACCCCCCATGGGAGCCTACATCGAGGAGATGTCATGGCAGGACAAGGAGAAGGTAATAAAGGCGCTCCTTTTTTATATCAATTCGACTTTCTATAGTACTCAGTCTCAACGTACAAACTGAGGGCGATATGATATGTTCTTTTTGTTTCCGTAATGTCTATTTTTAATGTACAATTTACGGGATGTGATTCACTCCTACTCGTTTTCCCTTATCTCTCTTTTCTTTGAGTGCATTGACTTTGTTGTCTTATAAGCGTGCGATACATGGGAAAATACACTTCACGGTTTCTAATATATTTCAGGCTGAAGTGCAAGGCCAACCATTCTCGTTGAAGTGGGACAGATAAATGCTTTCTGGAATCTATCGTGCACTTTTTAACCCTAAATAGCTTTCTGGATCAACGCTACCATTCAAACAAGTGCTTTATGTGTACATATATGCAATCACATTCACACATTTTTATTGAGAGCTCTTCTACATATCTTATTTTTTCACAGTATAACGTGCATTTTAGAATATCGAAGACGCTTTAGGTTTCAGGAAACAAAGTCATCTTCTTTAGCCTCATGGCCTTTCCAATCATTCTGGGTATATTAACCGGTGCGGCCTTTTTTTACACAATGCAGTTAGCTCCTCGAATCATCCAAAGGGTGGCAATGGCTCAGTGTTCACCTTTAGCTTCAGCTGCAGCCTCTTCCATTCGTGGTGCTGCAGCGCCGTATCGTATCTATGAGTATGGCTTCAAGAAAACCATGTCAGAGAGGGAGGCTTATATGCTGCTGGGTTTTGATGGGTGGGATTTGGGCCTATTTTCCCGTCCACCTGAGGAAGAGGTGAAGAGACGCTACAGAGAACTGATGAAGGAGCTGCACACTGATGTTGGGGGGTCACCATACATAGCAACCAAGCTGAATGAGGCAAAAGATATCCTCACACGACAACCAACTGATGAGCTTGATTAGAAGGGCTCTCTATGAATTTTGTAGGGCTAGATTGCATTTTGCTTCGTCATGGAAAGGATTTTTTCCCTCTTTCTTGCCTTCACGACTCATATGTTGTCAATGTTATGCTTTTAACACGTGGGGTAACACCACAAAGAGTGATGTCTTGATACATTTTATTTGGATAGTCCTTAACTTGACATCTTATCCTTTTGCTACTACCCTGTATCACTGTTGAGGGTGGTGAAATGTAACTCAGAAGAGGTATTTTTCTTCACTTATGTCGGCCTTATGTCTTGCCCTTCACTTTGTAAAGAGGGAAAATTAGGAGAAGGATACAGTTCAGGTGGAGTCTTTTTTTTCTGTGGAACTAGTCAATGCTTCATGGGGATGTAACAGAATTGTTCGAGGCCTCCGCGAGCTTCAACAAAATCCTGTCCACAGCGGCTCAGAGGCGACTTCTATATTTTAAGCCGCAAGGCTCAACTACTAACCCTGCCGACAATATTGTCGACACCACAGCCTTGCAGGTTTCTTTTTCGTATCTTCCAAGTCTTACAACTTCTATTCAAATTATCGGGATCGAAGAACACTCTCCTTGCACTGTTCATCCAACAACGGGGAATGACTACGCACAGTCGTCCACTGAACTTGCGGTAGCGGTGCAGCCGACTATCCTTTCACAGCAAATCCAGTCCTACCTTAAAGTAATTGTTGAAAAAAACAATCTCACATCCAGCCGCAACTTTGAGATTCCAGTAAAAAACTTCAAGGCAGTAACTTCGAGCTCTCCGTTTCAGTGGTTTGAAAAAACAGTTATTCTTTCATCCTGTCTCATCGCTCAGTTACCGCATACCTTGGTTCTGCTCATGCTGTTGCTGCTGCCCGATCATGAGGGGCTGTGGGGTGCACGCCGCTCCAAGCTACGTGAGGCGCAACCCCGAGCGACGCTTTTACACGTGCACCACGATGGCAATGGCAATAACGCTCAACATACCCCTAGATCAGACGACTTTCTTGTGGATTGTGTCAAGGAATTTTTACTGACGGACCTTCTTCTTAGCTTCTTTTATAAAATTAAGACCATTTGGTTTCACCGGGAGTGGATTATGAAGCTTATGATTGAGAATCACCTCCTGGCACATGAGGGAGGTGTTCTTTTTCCTCAGCTTATGGGTATCCAAGGAGCATGTTTCTTTTCTGGCACTACCTGTACTGGTAGTGACCCCGACGTGGATGAAAAGTTCACCAGCTCTGACACGATCCTTGATTTACAAAAGGTTTTGTCGTTAGATGATGAAGTACTCAGCTTTGCTTCTGATAAGCATCCAATGAATTACAACGCGTGGCAATATCGCCGTGCACGACTAACCATGTTACTCGGCTGCAGTCACGATTGTTGTCTACTTAAAGGTACTATGAGCTCAATCCATCGGGATCTTTTGCAGTGCAACGCTGAGGACGTGATGTGTTATCTTGAAACCCATAATGGTGACTCGTCAGCGTGCTCTTTTTTGCTATTTTTACTGTATCAGTGCACGTCTAACGAGAGGGAGGAGCCGCACGGTGCTGGCAACGCGGTGGATTCTCCTTATAGTCCTTGCACATCGAAAGATGAGGTGCCTCTTTTTGTTTTTTTATGGCGCCGTTTACTGTGCTTCACACAGAGAGAGCTGCGTCGGCATGCCGACAAAGGGCATGAGGGTATGTGGTATTTACGTCTTGGACTCATTCACTATGCCCTCAGCATGAATTCTAAAACGCCTTCGTTGTGCTATCCTCTGTTATCCTCTTGGACTGTGGCAGATGAGCTCGAGTGGACCTCTGTTTATATTGAGGGTTTCCGCGATATGATGACAACGGGAGTTAAGAGCAGCTGGCGTAATAGAGGACTCCTGGCACCCTGTAGTGACCTCGCACAGGCATGGGCTGAGAGCTCAGGGTCTACTGCATGGTCCTCCTACTTAGCGACTCGGTACGGTCTGCATCTTCTTCGGTGGTTGCAGCCACCCCAAGTCAGTGAATTGTGAGGTTGCGATCCATTGGTGGGATGAGGCTCGATACCATTTTTCTATTATTTAGGTCTCCCGCTAAGATTGTTACTAAACAAAGACCCCTTCGCGCAAACATCAATCAAGATTATCGATGAGATTCTCTTTTATTTCTTTGTGGGGTCAATTTCTACGCTTAATGTTTTTCTAAATCTAATGTCTTTACCTGTTGTCAATTATTTTTCCAGTCAAATATATCATAAGTACTATTTTTTTTTCTTTTCATATTATATACATACACATATAGTTAAGGGTAGAAGGACTTCTTCCTACTTTTCATAGATTCAAATTAATTTTCAATATTTCCTTTTCTTGAGTATAACAGAACGACTGCACATATAGTTCATCTCAATACTCACCATCTATAAATAAAAGTATCATAGAGCTCAGCAAATAAAGGATTTACGATGTCATCTGATTCAGTCCGTTTTATTAACCGGAATGACGAAAATGTTCCGTTCAGGCAGGAGAAGGTCCGTAAGACGTTTTTGGAAGCCTCCAAGGGCCTTTCGGAGGAGTTCATCGATATCGATGCGCTCGTCGAGACCGTATGCCGCGGCTTAACTGCTTCCATCACTTATTCCCATCTTGAAGAACTCATGGCTCAATCGGCTGCATATATGGTGACCAAACATCCAGATTATGGAATCTTAGGCGGTCGTCTAAGCGTCATGGCACTCCACAAGAGCACTAACCCTTCGGTGTTGGAGACTTTTCGAATTATGCGGAACCACACCTCGTTCCAAACCAAGCGTCCAGCCCCCCTCATCTCTGAGGAGGTTTGGGAAATCGTCCAGAAGCACGAAAAGGAACTTCAGGAAATGATTGATTACAGTCGCGACATGAACTACGAGTACTTTGGCTTCAAGACCCTTGAGCGGTCGTATCTATTAAGAATCGAGGTGGGGCGGGCCCAGATGCGTATTGTGGAGCGCCCCCAGCATATGATCCTGCGTGTTGCACTAGGGATTCATTTTGACAATCTTGAGAAAGTGGCTCGGACGTATGATTTAATGTCAAGGGGATTCTTCACTCACGCTACACCAACACTCTTCAACTCCGGGACGCCACGGCCACAAATGAGCTCGTGTTTTCTCGTAGCTATGAAAGAGGATAGCATTGAGGGCATCTACGATACACTGAAGGAGACCGCCGTGATCAGCAAATCGGCTGGTGGGATTGGGCTACATGTCCATAACATCCGCTCGTCTGGAAGCTATATTGCCGGTACGAATGGTACCTCCAATGGTCTCGTGCCTATGCTGCGTGTTTTCAACAACACCGCCCGCTACGTCGATCAGGGTGGCGGCAAGCGCAAGGGCGCCTTTGCGATATACCTGGAGCCATGGCATGCTGACATTTTCGAGTTTGTGATGCTGAAGCGTAACACGGGTAAGGAGGATCAACGTGCGCGCGATCTCTTCTACGGCCTTTGGATTCCTGATCTCTTTATGGAGCGTGTAAAGAATCAGAAAACTTGGACGCTAATGGATCCCTGCACGTGCCCGGGACTCAGCGACTGCTATGGGAAAGATTTTGAACGCTTGTACGAAAGTTACGAAGAAAAAAATATGGGGGTACGCACGATCCAAGCACAGGAATTGTGGTTTGCCATTTTAGAGACTCAGATCGAAACGGGTGTTCCGTTCATGCTCTACAAGGATGCGTGTAACAAAAAGTCGAACCAGAAACATATTGGCACGATTAAATGCTCCAACTTATGCACTGAGATTATTGAGTACACGTCCCCTAACGAAACAGCGGTGTGCAACTTGGCGTCTGTCGCCCTGCCGCGATTTGTAAACGTGAAGGAGCAGACCTTTAATCACGAACTTCTCTACGAAGTAACGAAAGAAGTAACCTACAACCTGAACCGCGTGATCGATAATTCCTACTATCCGGTAGAGACTGCAAGGAGAAGTAACGTAAATTATCGCCCAATTGGAATAGGTGTCCAAGGTCTCGCAGATACTTTTATTCTCCTACGCCAGCCGTTCACATGTGAAAAATCAATGATTCTCAATGAAGAAATCTTTGAGACCATCTATTATGCCGCGGTTGAGGCTTCGGTAGATCTTGCTGAGAAGGAAGGGGCGTACACCGACTTCAGCAAAAGTCCCGCTGCCCAGGGTATACTGCAGTTCGACTTATGGGAGAAAAAGCCCAAGAGCAACCGATGGAATTGGGATGCTCTTAAGGAGCGCGTCAAATCTTCAGGCATGCGCAACTCTTTACTGTTGGCGCCCATGCCGACCGCGTCAACATCGCAAATCTTGGGCAACAATGAGTGTTTTGAGCCCTTTACATCAAATATTTACCTGCGTCGTGTTCTAAGCGGAGAGTTTCCTGTTGTGAACAAATACCTGGTGCGTGATCTGATCGAGCGCGGGATGTGGAATGACACTATTCGCAATGAGATTATTACTTTCAACGGCTCTATTCAATCCGTCAAAGAAATTCCGAAGGACCTCAAGGAGCTCTACAGGACCGTCTGGGAGATTTCGCAGCGGCGGATAATCGAAATGGCTGTTGACCGCGGAAAGTACATCGACCAGTCCCAGTCTCTAAACCTCTTCATGGAGAGTCCTTCCTCTGGCCGCATAACGTCCATGCACTTTTTCTGCTGGGAACAGGGCCTCAAGACGGGCATGTACTACCTTCGCACACGCCCAGCCGCTGACGCTATCAAATTCACGGTCGATGCTAAGCGCATGAAGCAAGTTAAAGATGAGCAGCTGTCCGCATTTAACTCATCCCCCAATCAAGGCTTGTCTTCTTCGGAGTCTGAGGAATGTTTGAATTGTGGGTCGTAGCGAACTTGCGTCTACATTCACACGTATATTCATACTCACGCACTGCTGCATTCCCAAGGCTGCACCGAGTTCGCATGTTTAAGACCCTTACAAGATTCAGCTGGAAAAGTAAGTACATTTCGGCAGGGATAGGGGATGCGGGAGGAGATAGCAAAGGAGTTACAATTTGGAGTCATAATATGGATGTATAAACTCATAGATTTTTTTTTGTTAGGAATAAGTAACTAAGACATATGTGACAATTTACTATATGCAGTCAATTTTAGTTTTGGAGGTAAGTTGGAGTTCTTGTGAATATTTTTTTTTGTTTAACTTCATAGTGAAGAGATTAATTTTTTTAGTGAATGATAAAAAGAACCTCAACGGAATAAATATTGATTAGTACAATTTTTTTTTAATGCAAGGAGAAATGGATAATGTATCTCAGGAGCGACTTACTCCTTCAGATTTTTACCTAGGCAATTTAGAAACTCAAATTTTTCATATATTCGCAATTTTTGAAAGATCCTTATATTGATTGCCTTTTGATGAGTCATAGAGTATTATATTATGCTATCTATGATTAAGATTATGAGCGATGCAGATGTCGTTTATTCTTTTCTAACTGATAGTATCATTAAAGGGTATTGTTTTTAAACGGCGAAATACACTTAAATTCATAGGCCTGGGTAAGGTAGTGTAAAATATACGTGGATTTTGTTTGTTAGATCTGTTGGCTGAAGCAAAGCTTTACTTTTTCCGTTCTTTCTTTTTGTTTTGCCATTTCATTTCCTCTATATTGCCACTATTTGTTAGTGCATAAGGTTCATTTTTTTCTTATATTTACAGGTGTACGCAAGAGAGTGAAACTCACAAGCTAAACTGCTAATCACTCGAGCGCTTCTTATCCAGGTTTGAGACGTCAAGTGAAAGTGACAAGGGTATCAAAGTGATGAGTTTACCCTTTACGCAACCTGGCGTGGACCTTACGTCGAAGAAACCCTTTGTTCTGCGCGCAGACGGGTGGTTTCATACTTCTGACGTCCGTGCTGTGGCTGCACTTCCTGGATGCGATGATTTTATTCTTAGTGCATCCCGCGATGCCACCGCCGCCCTCCTTCAGGTTCCCCCCGTGACCAAGGATGACCTTGTCGCTTACCGCACTTTTATAGGCCACACGGAATTTGTCAACTTTATTTTTTTTCACCCTGGACTCAAGCTTATAGGGGGATATTCTTGCATTGTGAGTGGCTCCAATGATCACCACGTCGTCGTCTGGGATTCCGAGACGGCTGGAGTAAGGGCCGTGCTAGACGGGCACGCGCAAGGCGTCTGCCACGGCACCTTCGTCGGTGCTACAAACGCTGCCAACGGCGGGGTTGATCCCTCACATGGGGACATCGTTACGGGAGACTGGGCAGGGGTCTGTCATGTTTTTGATCACACAAGCGGGAGAATCAAGCTTTCCTACACTAAACACGCAACGGCAATTCGCGGGCTAGCGCATCTCCCTACTACGCGTCTGGTCGTATCTGCTTCGGGAGATAAGACAATTCATGCCTGGGATGTGCATACAGGATTAACAAGGCGGGTGTTTAGAGGGCATGCCGATGTGGTGCAGTGTGTGTGTGCTATTAATGCATCCCTTTTCGCTTCTGGCAGCAACGATTGCACCGTGCGACTTTGGAAGATTGATCAGGATGCGGCTCTCTGCGTGCTACAGGGCCACGATTCTATCATCTACTCCCTTATATACAGCACGCTAACGGATGAGATGTATTCTGCCTCTGAGGATCACACAGTGAGGGTGTGGAGTGTCACCGCCGCGGTTAGAGGCAAAGATTCTTCAGATCGAATCTCAAAGTCATCTAGATATTCTCCGGTGGAGGTCATTTACCATCCATGCGTCGTATGGGGACTGGCTGCTCTCCAGACAACAGGTGATATAGTCACAGGTGGTTCTGATGGCTGTGTACGGATATGGACCCGCAACGATGCGCTTATTGCAAACCCAGAGAAGATCGAGCTGCTGAATGCCGCCATATCTGCGCAGACTGTTGACATTAAGCTTACCGAGCTAGACACTGGGGCTGCTGGAGGAAGCAATGCACTTGATAACGTCAAAGTAGTGCCTATAGATACCATCTACAACCGGCGTGGTAGCTATGAGGGGGAAAAGCTATTTGTCAAGGATGAGGATGGTCAAGTAGTGGTGTACATGTGGGGAAAGAAGAACTGGGATAAGGTGGGAACCGTCGTTGCAGGCCCCGATCAATCCGCTTACACCGGTGAGCCCGTTGCAAGGGAGAGAAAGATTCATCAAGGAAAGTCGTATGATTATCTGTTTGATGTAGAAGTTGAGGGGCGCATGCTAAAGTTGGGTTATAACGTCGGGGATAATATTCTTGAAACTGCTCAGCGTTTCATCAATGAACATTCTGGGATTGTCTCACAGGATAGCCGTGAGGAGATTCAAAATTTCTTGCTAGCCAACATCAGCCCAGGGGACCTGCGACAGACTTTGGACATTGGAAAGGGGGGTTCTGCCCCCAGTACGACAGGGGCTTTGCCCCGAGTGGACCCTACTAGATCCTGTGAGGAGAATGATCCCGAAGCCAGGTCTGAAGCCTTGAACGTGTCGGTGACACCGTATACATGCCCTGAGGTATTTAGTAAGTTTAATGCGCGGGGCGCCCAACACAAGATAAATGAGTACCTCCATGGGACTGCATCATCCCGTCTAACGTCGTCGCCTGAATCCTTTTTCCATCTTATGGATAACATCCAGGAGTTACATACCTTGTCGAATGATGGGATTCGCTTGTTTTGCAAAGGGTTATGTGAACTAGGCCAGGTCCTTCCTGAAGGGTGTCGTTTCCCGTTGTTAGATGCCAATCGCTTTCTCCTTTATCAGCTGATGACGCACTCGGGTTCGGTAACGTCAATATCCACCGCTGTGGGTACCCTCTTTGATACGTTTGAGGCGCTTCTGATGAGCTCCAATGCCATCCTGACGGACGAGAAGGCGGTCATGAACGATGCCGAGACGTTGGTGTCGCTGAGGCTCCTGTGCAATGCCCTTGCGCTGCTAATAAAGGTCCCATGTGACATCTCCCATGCACATAAAGCCTCAATGGTAATTACGACCAAGTCTTTGTCAATGCTCGCGCTCCAGAAGCTGAGCAATGCCAACATCAAATCAGCACTGGTAAGCCTTATGGTGAACACATCCCTCTACTTGCCTGCTATAACCGCTCAGCAGTCATCGATAACGGAGGATGCAGCCAATGTGGATAGCTGTGCGGACTCTTACACCACAGCACAGTTGGCAGTTTTGTTTGTCTCAGTAGCAGCTAAGTTTTTGGTGTGCGAGCCAGTCGGATCAGCTCACACTTTACATGTGTTACGGGCTCTATACACCTTATTTCATCTTGATGGATCAAATCAGAGGAAGCATCAGCAACATAAAGCAGAACATCGAAGTGTTTGGCCGATGTGGCTTGACGATGCACGTAAAATGGGAAAAACTACGCTACAGTACACATTGCATTCTATTGAAACTGGCTCGAATCTTGAGGCGAGACCGATTGCAAAAAAAATTATGACGATTTTAAGCCATTAAAACACTAATGGAAGGTCAACAAATACATTAGTGTTAATCAAAAAGTGTTGAGACACCCACGTTTATTGATTTTACTAACCGCTGTTATGGGCGGTCGACAATCTGGGAGCTACAGAAACTAAATGTTTCACCACCTGGTTTAGTTAGTGCATTCTTATTAAGAATTTTTTTTCATGAAGCTATTTTATTACTTTAGTATTTTCAGAATATGAAATTTAAAGAGCGTTTATCGTTAGATTTTTCTCGACATGTGATAGCTGTTGTTCGACCGGGAGATCTATTCTTGTGTGCACGATACAGCGGAATACAGCTTCTTTGAGTTTATTGGAGAAATGAAGTGTGTCGCTGAGAGAGGAAAATGCATCATTATTTGCTTAAAAAAAATAATCGCTGATACCTCAAAAAAAGCTTATAGTGAGTGTAGAGGCGATAGAGCTATCTTTCTCTTGTACACGTATATATTATTGATTTTTGCCTAGTTATACGGTTTTCCTTCATGAATCCTTTTATGTATGTTTTCGACATCAAATGTGAACTATAAAGCATAGGTTTAACTGTGAAAGGAATTAGGTGTTCAATTTTATAGTATTATTCCTTTTTTACACGCAGCATTCTACGAAAAATCCAGATTGTTCGTTTTTTTCGTATCTCATAGACTACGGGTAAGTCTGTATATGTAAATACTAAAACATTCATACATTTATAAGACATTTTTCCCCATTTTCTAACCAAAATAAGTCGGACATTACCCGGAGGAAAATTAGTAGAATTGAGAAGGGAGTGTGAAGTGAATAAAGGATTTACTATGGACACAGTAGGAGCTAGCGCACCTGGTGGGTATGGCATGCCGCTGCCGCAAGAATCACCAGACAACGATCCCGAAAGTGAGAATCCCCTTAAGCAGAATTCCTTTTCAAGTCAAGGTCCATCGATTTGCATTAAATCCCTTTTGCTTAGGATCCATTGTATTGTAGGAATGCCTTCTGCCATGGCGCAGCTTAACCCCTCGGAAGGGTACTTTGAGCTTGTGATTCAGCCCAAGTGCAAGTACTACGTGGAGGGTCACAGATTAATGTCTCGTGAGCTTGCCAAGCATGCCATTCAAATTTTTCCTTCCTCTATTAGTTTGTGTCGTGATCGGTATGTCGTAGATTTCGATAACTTATCCAATATTAACGATATTAGTGCAGCAGGTGTGAGCGATATGGGGGAAAATAGCGTTGTTTTTTTCGAATGCAGTAACTCCCATACTGGCAATAAAGAATCTCTCGGAGAGAGTTGCTCCTGTGATGAGACTAGCCACCGGTCTGGTTCACGGTGGGCTGAATCAAAGGAAATACGGAATGAAATCTTGCTTGAGTTTCCCACACGCGATGATCTCAAAGTAATTATAGACGTATGCATTGGTGTGCGCCAGGTTTACAGTCGTTTCTTCTCGTCCCGATGGCTTACGCCAAGTGTGGGAGGTGAGATGAGCAATACCGATCTCTTCTCGATGTTCTTAGTATCTGACGGTGAGGTGGCACGGCACAAGATTGTCCACCGTTCCGTAGGTCTCCAAGTTGGACACCTCTCCTGCACGGTCTCCTTGCCTCACGTTCAGAGGGATTTAACACAACTTCCGGGCAGTGAGCAACTCATTGCCAGCGCTGCGCGGAGACTGGAGCATGATGCACATATGCTCAACATACTTTACCCTAGCAGGTCCGGACGCGTGCTTGCGCATCAGGCGACTGCCGCGCTCTTTTCGCAGCATCTCTTGCGTGGTGAATCTGAGCTATCTATCTATAAGAATCTGCTTCATCAGTTCTCACCGAATTTCTATTTGTCACGCGTTCAGGAGCTGGTTCGTGCATACCCGCCCACGCAGCACACTGCCAAATGGGTGCGCAATGCGACTGTAGAGAGTCTCCTGAAGGAGTGTAAGGGTCGTGAAGAGGAATTGATACGAATCCTATGCTTAGAGCTTGGGCCTGACAAAAGCAGCGTCAGTCCACGAATGCGATATAGAGTGTTTTTGTTGAGTACGAAACTCTCTGAATCGGACGTATGGAAGCATACCCGTGCTAAGTGGGGGAAACAATACGAGAATGATATTTTGGATTTTGAGCCCGATGCGTCCATGGCCGAGCTGGAGCGGCATTACGGAGTAAAAGAGCTTTTGCCAACTCAATACAACTTTTCAAAGGTGTGGTACCGTACCGATGAGAGGATTTACTTTAGAGATGTTCTACGTTTTCCGAATAATAGATCAGAAGGGCGGTATCGAAATCAAGTGCTCGCCTCCCGAAGTCAGCGTGTGCCACTGCAAATGACCCCCAACGAGCGCCCATTGCAGCCCTTGGATCCGCACAGTCGCTGCACCACGGAGATCGAAATACTTCTTGACAAATACAAGCCTGAATTTTTGCAAATTATTCCATCTATTGCGGAGGCTATGAACGCTGTAGTGCGTGGGAACGAGTATCTGTCAAGCTGCATTTCCCAAAAAACCCACAAGCATGAGTGGGGTTACGCTGAGGCAAATGACGATGAGATTTATGGTGCTTTTTCAGTTTTTAATTCTAGCGGCCGCTGCGAGCCTTATACCGCCTTTTTAAGCCATATTTCCGAGTTTACATACATTTCACCAAGTGTTTTGCTTGCTGTCGTGATTTTTCTTGACCGCCTGTGCATGCGGTATCAAAAACTAATCATCTCGCGTCATAATATTGAGAAGCTCTTTATTTCGACCTTGCGTGTGGCTAGCAAGGTTCTGGATTTGCGTAGTCTCAACAATCGCAACTTCGCTCAGGCCTGCTCCTTGTCTACGAAGGAGATGAACACCTTGGAGGAGTGTATGCTGAAGCTCATGAATATAGACTTTTTTATTTCGGCGGAGGAGTTGTATAGTTACGCCCACTTGCTAGACCCACCGCTTCGGCGCACTGTCGTCCCACCGCCACTGGATATCAACCTACCCGTGCTTGCGCACTCAAGCTCTAGCACCAACACCGCCAGCCCCATACGCGGCAAGCCGGAGCGTCAGAAAGTCCAATCTCTCCCCGTACCACCCCCAGTTTCCTGTCATAATCAAGCAAAGCCTCGCTCACGCTGCTCGAATCTTTCTAATGGGCATGATCAATCCCCCCAACGAACTGTCCACCATACAGGTGCTGGCAACTGTCTAACGGCTTTACCGGGGCCACAAGTCCAAACACACGTCTACCACCAATTAGGTGTCCATTCGACCGGATCGTGAGGACATCCTCGGGCAAGCTGGAGAGAAGCGGGGTAAAATAAAATACATCAAAAAGACGACTTTGATCGTGGGTGTCCGAGGCTATAGATAATTGAGACTCGCACAGATATCTATCTCGTAAGCGGAGAAGTAGTGGCTTTTTTCCTTACTTCGGCATCCCCGACTGGTGTTGTCACCGCATTCTACATTACTATTACTATGCGACAACTTATGGCGCTTGAGGGTACAGCCCTCACAATAACCATACTAAGTGATGATAACATCCCTAGAACAGGAATGCTTACTAACAGACGCGTGAAAGAATGGATACGGTAGCTATCTGCTTCTCAGTATGGAGTTCTGCTTTTACTGTGACCAGAAGTGTCGAAGGATGTGACGTTTTCTATAAAGATTTCAAGGGTCGATAGCGAGGATGATTTTAACTTGGCTACCGTTATTTCCCTCGGTATCAAATACTTATATTTTTATTTAAAACAAAGTCTTGCTATCAAAAGCACTATATAACTTTTTAAAAAGCAGGGAGGCGAGGGGAAGGGGGGGCGGGAGTAATTTATCCGGAAATGATACATGCATATATATATATATTTATATATATATATAAATGTATACGTATATATGAATGCCTATTTTCATTAAAAAGTGTGTGTTCTAAAAAGTAGAGTAACTGAAGGATAGGCAAAAAAGAAATCGGCTTCTATTTTTAAAAGAAATACGAATCGTGTTAGTATCGATCTGTTTTTAAACTAAGTCTGTTCTCGTTCGATCATTTGCTTTAAGAGAGTGTGTATTTCTTTACTTACAAACCGATAGTTGTGTATGTATAAATATACATAGAAAGAACGTAAATTACACCGTAGTTGATAAATTAATTCAATATATTGGGTATCTAGAAAGCAAATAAATCTGCATCTAGGGAAGTAAACGACACAAAAGTGCTTTAAAACTTTAATCGATTATCCTTATTTATAGAAAAATTTATGAGCTTTCTATCATGCTTCAAGTACCGTTCAATTTAAGCGTGAGTTCAGGATGTCATTTTATGTGGGTATATCTTCGTCGTTTTACTATTATTAACCTATTATTTATTTTTAAATATCTTTTTTTGTAACTTTCCAATGTCTATTTTGTCTGTAATGTTCATTATGGACAGAATTGAAGTTTTGTGAAAGGAAGGAACATCACAATGAAAAAGTTAAGGAATTCATTTGACTGAAGTTGTTAACATTTTTTTTTTTATTTACCATTAAAATGCATTTTTTTAAAATATATATCATCTCGATTCCCCATCGCCTCACTACCTTACATTTTTTTCCTATTTAGCCTTTATGGTGTGAACATTTTTTCGCTATCTTTCTATATTTTGGTATTTTTTTCAAGCATTTCATTCTCATGCTTTATCAATTAAAGTATCTTTCTGTTATTTGTGTGATATCACGCTTTGTTCACTGAGTCGTAGAATAAAAAATGGTGAAATTAGCTTCTCAAAAGTGATCTATATTCTCCCTGTTTTATGCATTAAGAAGCTTAAGCATATCATCATTTTTATTCATTCGTTGGTTATTGTCCTTGGGGATGGGCAAATGGAGGAAATGAAATGGAAAGAGGGCAACTTAAGTGCACTCATTCTGATTCACACAAATAAAGTGAATTATCATGTACATATTCACATGAATATATATATACACACGTATGCTAATTCATGTAAATATGAATGCGTTTCAAAGAAAAGAAAGCGGGCTCATTCCTGTAATGTTTTTTTTCCTTTGTCTCAAGTTATTTCTCATATTGTCACCTTTGGAATTGTTTTTGTATTATTTTTTCCTTTTTTTTGCTGTGTGCTTTACATATTTTGGAGATCTGTTGGAGTGTGTTGCCAAAGTGATCGATTGCCCGAAGACGAAAAAGTTGAAGAGTTATTTTCTTTATATGTGTTCCTTTTTTCGGAACCAATAATTTTGAAATACACTCATTTCATTTTTCGGCTACATTCTCTAAACCTTATCTGTTTTACTTCTAGATGTGTTTTTCACAAAGAAGAAGTGAGTAAACAAGCAAGAGGGAAGCGAGAGGTGTTATATATATAGCTCGTTTACTAAGGAAAAAGCAAAAAGATCATATTCATTTTTTTATTGGGAAACCTATCAAACAAAAGGAAACAAATGTTTTATTCGGGATGGAAGTTCCGAGTTCCACAGTCCCTTGATCTTTCTATGGCTAACAGTGGCTCACTCCAGAAGGGGGGCCAGATCATTTTCCAAAACCATCCCGTGCAGGCCACCGGCCGTGGCGGCGTTTCAACGATATCCATCCTCGCCCCCTCGACGCCAGCCCTGTCGCGACCCGCCCGCCGATCGGACACCGCGGCCGATCCGCGGCGGAAGCCCTTCCACGTCAAGACCGACGCCCCCATGGCTCCACTGAGTGGGCTTTTCTACGCGGAGGTTCAGATCCTTGACATCGGGATGGTGGGGGGCGGAGGGGGGCGACGGACCGCCCCGGGGCTCGTCGTGGGGGTGTGCGACGCCGCCCTCCCGTCGCACCGCCTGCCCGGGGAGGAGGCCCACAGCGTCGGGCTCTTCCTCGCGCAGCGGATGATGCACCAGAACGGGAGCCGGGAGTCTACGCGGGTGACGATCCCGGCCGCCGCGTTATCCGCTCGATACCGCTTCCGCCCTGTGATGGACACGGCCTCCTCCTCGCCTGACCCCGCCAGCTTTGCGCGGACCACCCCTCCGTTCTTCGCCTTTCCTCATCGTGGGGAAACCGCGAGGGCGCCCCCTTATGCCTGGTCGTCGTCCTCCGCGGCCTGCCTCTTGGAGAGGGACTCCAGGGCCGGCGACGGGGCCCTGCGGGAGCTGGGCGAAGGCGATGCCGTGGGGTGTCTGGTCAACTTCGCGGACGGCTCCGTGCAGTTCACCGTGAATGGGTATATCCTCCCGGGTTGTGTTAGCAAATTCGACACCCCTCGACCGACGTGGTCGGGGTACTACTTCGCGGTCGGCCTGCAGCGTCGCACGGGGTGGGTACGTCTGCAGGTGATTCTTCAAAGCGGGGTGTGTCCGCTCCCCCGGGTCAAGGTGTGGAGTGCTAACGCGTGTAGTCGAGTTATCCCTGCGTTGTTGAACGGTGACGCTCACGAACAAGGCCCTGATGGTACGAAGGAAGGGGGGACTCGAAACCAAGTTAACGGAGATGCCGCGGAAACCACGGTCACTGGTGAACCAGTTGAAACGCCCTTTCGGCCGGTTGGAAATCCTTACCCATCTATCATGAACCCAAAGGATGCCAAGTTGACGGAGGAGGTTGTGATTCTCTTCGATGTCGCCGCATACGGTCGTCAGATCGCGGAGGATCAAATCCGTGAAAACTACTCACGTCTGTTCAACGGAAATTGGATGGAGAGTTCCTTTGACGATGCGACAGTGGCGGTTATATTACAACAGTATTTTAGCAGCCGTGGCATGGTACGAACAATGTCTGTGTTTTTGTCTGAGCTGGCTGAAATGCGCGTGCCATCGGTCCTCCCATGCGCCCATTCTGGACCACCTGAAGTGGAAGCAGTTCGTGCGGAGAATAGAACCAAAGAAGCGTCCCATTCTAGGAGTAAGAACTCCTCATCTCCCCAGAGCGCGAAGGCCTCTAGCGGTTTTCCTGCCTGGAAAAAAGAGGGGCAGCTGCCGATCATCTCATCTATGACTATGCTGGAGTACACCTCAGAAGTTGAGACGCTGCGCCATATGTTTATGGAGTCCTTTTCACCTCCCTCACTGCTCGAGGCATTAAACTCGTTTCCTTTGCAGCAACCGACTTCTAAAACGCCGAAACCTTCTCATGCCCGAGGATTTGCATCGAAAGAAGCCAAGGAAGCTGATGGGGAAGGACAAGGGGGGGTTTACCCTGAGAGAACTACTGATGTCTTAGATTATTTACTAAATCACCATAATATCGTTTTGCCCCAAGTGCGGTGTGCGCTAGCATCCGGCTTGAATACAACCATAGACTCGTTGGACGCGATTCTTCCATCGCGCTTTTGGGCTCTCTTGTTCTTCTCACGAAGACAAGACATTTTGTTTGTGATAAAGGCCTTACAAGTTATAGATACAGGGCTGGATTGGGTCCTGGGAAACTTTTCAGAGGTGCGGCGACAGTTCTCCCCACAACGGGCTCAAAGTGAGGGGGGTTTGCCTGAGAGTAAGATTAAAGGCAAACACAGCAATAACACCGAATCAGACGAAAGTTTTTCAACTAATACAAACGGGATGTTTTCCTCCTCACTTGAAATGGAGTTGATTGAACAGAAACTTCTTATGTATTATACCAACACCGTTTTGAGCCCTTTTCATAGCATCAAGGCCTCCGAGCGCGCCGCTAAACGATTTGGAGTACGCAAATTTTACCACTCTTCGGCTTTTCGAAATGAATGCACACGGGAAACCATCAATGGATATCAACGGAGGAGTGAATCCAAAAACGAGGAGGATTGTGTGCGGGTTGCTTCACTTCCTCCTCTGGAAGACATCTCCTGGAATGAGATGTCAGACACTGCTATCGATGAGTGCCTTCTTGCCCACATCCAGGAGTGTCGTCGCGTCGCCTCCACAAGCGATGTTGAAGGTGGAGCAAACGGTACTTCCCTAAAGACGGCCGCGCCGTGGGAGGCTGTAGGACAAGTAATTTTGCTAGGTTCGGTACCTCTCGTTGCTCCACCAAGTTCCTCGACACAGATCGCCCTTGGTGAGTCCCTGGTGACCGTCGTACTGCATGTTATGGCATTCCTCAAGCACGCGCTATTATCTCACTCGACAACAGCCCAAGACAAGGAGAGTTTTGTGAGGAGAGCTAATTTTGAAAGGGCTCCGCGGGAAGCCGAGGATGCGGCAGCCGTCCGCAAAGGAGGCTGTGGGCGGGCGCAGGGTGGAGGTGAGAGCCCCAAAGAGAAAATACCTCACTATCCAGATTCCAAGGCAAAGTACCATGCTACTTCTGTCGCTGTTGGCATGACCGAGGGCTCTGTGGTAGATTTACTTAGATGGGTAGCCCGCTGGGAGGCCCTGCTGCAGCGCGCTCAACAGCAGTACCACAAGTCTGCTTGGGCGCTCCTCCAATGTGCTCTGGAGGAGTTCAACGACCGCACGCAGCGTCGACTATTTCGATTGCTCCATAATGAAGGCAATCGCAACGGGGTGGAACCACGGAAGCCTGCGGCGTCCCCTTTCAACGTTCACGATGACGAGCAGGAGGAGGGTATGAAGACATCCCTACCTGTGCATTGCCGCGACACGGCGCCCTCCACCTTCATGGAATACCTTATACCATCCAATGGTGCGTTAAGCTGCATGGGGATGCCGCTGTCGAGCGAAAACGGTGGCGGCTTGGTGAATCCGGAGGAAAGGGCGTCGAAGTCGGCGTACGTGGCGCATTCCGAGTCCGACCCCAACGGTGGCGTGGCGATGGATAAGGAGAACCATAGGGAGGTGGCGGGTTGCCCGGAAAGCACGGGGGAGGCCGCGAAAACGGGCCTCACGGGGAGGGATCCCAGCGGCCGTGAGCTCGGCCGCCGCGATGAGGTGCTTGCCCACCTGCTGGCGTTTGGGCAGCCGCCTCTGCGGACGGTCTACCGCCGCGCGCATGCCGTGGCCGCTTTAAAACCTCAGCAGCACATCATCACCTGCGCCTTTCTCGCCGCGCTGGAGGAGGGGATGCGTGGGTTGCCGTCTATCGGCGTCTTTGCGTCGACGGCGAAACGCTCCCCTTCCTCCAGCACGGCCCTGACGTCACCCTCGCAGGAGCGGAAGAGGAACACACCGTTGTCTTTCGTCTCCTCCCTGCCGGCAAGCGGGGCGGGGTATGGGGAGGGCGGCGACGGGGAAATCGCGCTGGAGGAAGGGGACTGGGCCGTCGACGAGTACTACCTCGGTTCGGTATATCTGAAACGTGTGTATCGGTATATGTTCAGCTGAGGTTGTCATCCTATCGGAACGTGTTGTGCATGGCGCTCCTTCCCGGCGCACTGGGGGGTAGGCGTGCATATAGATACCGGTCGACGGGTATCTATTTACGAGTATCCATAGACATTGGTGCCAATGTCATATGCAATAGGCAAGGTTGGTATGTGAAAGGGATGGGGAGAGTATATTTTTCTCTTTCTCATTGGGTAATGCCTTCCTTATGGGACAATATTGTTGTATAAAAAACTACAAGGATTCTTTTTATCTGCTTCTTCTGTGTACTTAGTAGCAAAGGCCTTTGTGATTGCTTTTTATATGAGAACACTTAAAACATAAGTTATCGATATATGTGTTTACTACCTCATTTTTCAATTTTTACGTGCTAGAATATTTCTAAAGTCGAGAGAAGTCAATGCTGAGGAGTATAAAAGCAACAACAATGACAAAGAGGGGTTATATAGCATTATCGGAAATTTATGACATAGCGCATCTAGTTGCGTTTACTCTCTGTGTTTTGTTCCTCCTTTTAGGAAAGGAACAAAACGTTTTTTTTTGAGGTTATATTTCAGCCCATACATTTTAATGCAAAGAGAGTATTCTGTTTAGCTAAGGCCTGATCGCTGGTTTCTGTTGGATCCCAGATTTTTTTTTTGGTTCGTTGCTTTTGATTTCTAATTCTACATTATTTTTTTCACACCATGCTTCATTATTAAAGATGATGTTCAAAACCGAAGGCAAAGCGGAAACATTACTTTCGCCTTTTCATTCTTATTCTTAGTAGTGTGTTTCATTTTTTTTATTCCTTCAAATGACTTTTCATTCGTTATTTTTATTACTGTTAAAGACGTTTGTATATTGACTGTTTCACACCGATTCTCTATAATCTTTTCTCTTCTTTTCACAGTCTTTACATTATCATTTATACCCTTTCTTTCAAGTAAAGCCGCTCATAGTATACTTTGTTTATTGTTTACTTTGATTTATCTTGCTCCTACTGCCAAGGAAAGCAAGTGTCAAGGAGGTCTGTATAGCAAAATCCTTTTTCATACACAACTTTCTCTCGCTCTCTTGCAGCAGCTAAATTTGTACGCGTTGAAATAGCAATATTCAGGAGAAAGGAATAATGAGTACTACGCGGAGAAGCGAACTGGTTAATAGGCCATGCATGATCACCGAGACAGGGCGAGTTTTGCCGTTACCTCCTAATCGGGCCCCCTCAAGGTCTTCAAAGACCATGAGGCTGCCGACGAAGCGGTTTGTCCCTTTATTGAGTGCTACAGAGGTTGTTAATCCTCGTGTGAGCTGCGAACGGTCTATGCACAGGCAGAAGGATTCCCCATCTCGACCACTAATCAAGGCAAAGGAGAAAAAAAAACATAAAAAGCAGAGGAAAACTGTTGTCTCCCCTCGCGTGTGTGTCATTGAGGATCCGAAGATTACGATCCCTGAGGAAATCGATGCCGATTCCAAGGATAAATATCTAGAAAAGTTGTCCGTCACGTCATTTTCAAAATCCGATACGTACAGCGAGTCCGACAGCCCAAGACTGGATACGATAATTTGTGATAAGATTCATGAGGGGACCGAGAATCGACAGTATATGACCTCATCATCGACATGCTCGTCTTTCTTAGAAGAAGAGCACAAAGCTTATAACACATGTCCTTTACTGAGACGTCCAGAATCCATAAGTCTAAGAATCGAAAATGAAAATGTAGCCGAGATTTTTGAGAATCCGTACAAATACCCTGAATCCAAAAGGCAACACAAGAAGCACGACAGCCCTCGGGCTCGGTGGCTCACCCACAAACCTAATCAGGATTCAGAAGACGACCCGAATTCGCGTTTGAACAACTCAAAAACTGTTTTAGTGCACAACAATTGGCATCTGCATATTCACTCTAAGACCAATAAGATGCAGAATAATCACGTGGATACGCAGGTCGCATACATTGAAGGTCCCAGAGGTCAGAGTCTGGCGCGGCTCACACATTTGAAGGGGAGAAACTCATGGGAGCAGACTGATATCAACCAGAAGGTAGTGGAGCATTCGGTACATACTCTTCATTTGAAACTCCTGGGGGGTGTTTCACCGGATACAGAAATACCAGGGTCGTCAATAGAAGGCAGCGAGCTAGCACCCGCGATGCCGTCACTCCAGGGAATTCGACGCACTCAACAAGTTCGATTTTAGTGCGTGCCGAGCATGCATTTTATGAATTAGAATCATTAGTTCACTTGTGTGGATAGCTTCGTTGGATGCCTTTTTGATGTGTGTGCCGTAAAGCCAAGTGGAGCCTTGGAAAGTAAAGTTCCTCTTAAGGGTATCCAAACGTATTGACGCACTCGAGTTTCGCGCCCAAGTTGAGCTGCCAGGTGGTGGTGGGTCGGAGTGGAAAGGGAAAGCCGAATGTGTGTAGTTTTTCCTTCGAGGGTTGATTCTAGATACTGGCCAGAACCGATCGAGCGAAGTCCTCATCTTGTGGATTGGGGGGGAGGGGGAGGGGCAAATTGAGCTTAATTCTGTGATCTTTTTCGTGTTCTTCTGTGATTCTTCACTGGGGATACCCATGTAGAAGAGGAATACTTTGGGGAAGCGCCTCAAAGATAATATGATAGCGATACGATTGATCGCCATTCATAAACGCTGCACACAAGTTCGTGTGGTGTGGTGTGGGTTTGTCAGCTACACATTTGTGAAGAAAGACTGAGCACATGCTAACGTGCCTTAGTTTGCTCTGGGAGAAGGATGTCATTGCCTTTATCTTGTGGGCAAATGTACGATTGCGCTGCTTGCTCGGTCCACTCTCTACGTGAACTTTCCGACTCTGGTCTCCCCCCTCTACTCCCCCACACACTTCAAATCCGACGTGAGGTGTTTATATTCTTTCACGAAGCGCCGTGGTCCTCCTCTAACGTGTGTTACGTTCTATTCACCAACTTGTTGAGTATTATTTGACCGTCTTCTCTATGCTTGCATTGCTTTTCAATGCAGAACCCTGATCCGAGGCTCTACGACACATATCATATCATATAGTGAAACCGCTACTGACTCATGTAGAGTAACAGCAATAAAAAAGATACACCTATAGGCAGTAACCTAGTATTGCATCTGAGCCAAAAGTGCACGAGCTGATAATGTAATGTTCACGAGGGTGATAAAAGCTTAACATTCATCTAAAGCCGGTTTAGTATTCGGTTTCATTTGTTCTTGAAAGTATATACCTAATTGTGACTAATGAAGTATACACATACCAATGCATGTATTTTATATACACCGTACTTATATCTTCTAAACAATACTAGTTAGAAAATTTACTAGCAGTTTTTATACATTGTACCATTTTTGCCTCCTCAATTTAACCCTTCCAGCATGATTAGTGTAAGAAAAAAATTTAAATAAGCTGAGTTTATGAGTTCATATAGTATGCTTACTGACAATATTTAAACCATAAACTAAAGTGTATATGATGCTGATGCATCTTTACGCGTGGATACGGTGTGACATTGGGAGTTATCAACGTTGTCTCCTATTTGTTACCTCGACCACTTTTAAAGTTTTTTTAACTTTTTTTCTTAGCTTTATGCCATTTCTTTACTAAACATACACTATCAATGAATTTATTCATTATGTTTGATAGTACATATTACTTCATTACCATTAGTGGAAGTCAGTATTGTGGGTATACAGCAAACAAGAAATTAGTTTAAGAGTTGCTTGATCACTATACTTGACAAGATACTGAAAGATACACCTTTTCACTAACATGCTGAGTGAATGTACGCTTTTTTTTAGACATGGAGGTATATTAAGAGTCCATTATATTTATTATTCATAGATTGTTTATACGAAGCTGTGAATGCATTCCAAATTTGCTGATGTCTGTATATACAAAAAGAAAAATTTAATGACTATGTAAATCTATTACTTTCAATCATTTTTTTTTTAGATTAAATGAAAACAGATAGGATGAAAAAGCACTTTCCACTTCCCAGATTTACGCATTTTCCTACTCCCTGCAGTTAATTCTGCAACGACGCTGTTTCCTCTGGATGCATCATCGTTTGGGGTATAAATTCCATTTCTTCCTTGTCCATTTCTTTCCAAACCCATTTTTAGTTTCCACTTTTCTGGAAGGAAACTAAAAAAACCATTTTGTATATAATCTTTAGATAATTGCTAGAACTATACTCCTCTTTTTTTTATCTCGACAATTCTCTTCTGTGTGCTTGACACTTTTTTCAGGTATACGAGTCCATTTGTTATTTTCCTTTCCCGTTACCCGGTTCGTCCTGTGTAATTTTTTCTCATCCGAAACGCTTTCTCTCTCTTGACCTTTCAAACTCACGTCTCATCTCTGACTAGAAGGCTACTCTCACACGACGATCTGTCACAGTATTATAGAAACAGGAACACACGGGGAAAGCGATATTGTGTCACTCCACACACCCCACCCCTTTCCTTTCTTCTTCCTTTTTTATGTTGGGGGTCTTCCAAAAGTGTTGTCTTGTGGGTCTCCTGGTGGGGCTGCTTCTGGCTGTGGGGGCCGGGGCCGCACCCAACTCCGTTGCGGACATCCCCTATAGCATCGTTCAGACGCTCGGCGAGACGCCTCACTCCTTGACGGCCGCTGTTCAGCTGAGCTCGACGGCGACAACGTGGAAGGAGCTCGGGAAGGCGGGGCTGGAGCGCTACGCGGTGGGGAGCTCCGTTGTGGTGCATCTTCCCCCCCCTCCGGCCGGCGGCAGGGGGGTTGCCTTCACGACGGTGCTCTGTGAGGAGCATCAACACGTGCGTGCGGTGAGCGCCCCCTCCGAGGGGACCTGCTTTTTCTACACCAGCGAC